AATCCAATGGTAGTTGATGGTGTTGACATTACCTTATACCAAAATGTGCATCCTGTTGACCCACAACTCCCAGCACAAGTTGAGGATAACGACGAGGATATCCATCACCAGCCAGGTCAGCACCCACAAGAAGGGTTTGATCTTACCTTATACCAAGATTTGCATCCTGTTGATCCACAACTCCCAGTACAAGTTGAGTATAACTGCGAGAATATTCATCAACAGCCAGGTCAGCAACAAGAAGGGGTAGATCTTACTTTATACCAAGATTTGCATTCTGTTGATCCACAACTCCCAGTACAAGTTGAGGAAAACAGTGAGAATATCCATCACCAGCCAGGTCAGCAACAAGAAGGGGTAGATCTTACTTTATACCAAGATTTGCATCCTGTTGATCCACAACTCCCAGTACAAGTTGAGGATAACTGCGAGAATATTCATCACCAGCCAGGTCAGCAACAAGAAGGGGTAGATCTTACTTTATACCAAGATTTGCATCCTGTTGATCCACAACTCCCAGTACAAGTTGAGGGTAACGGTGAGAATATCCATTACCAGCCAGGTCAGCAACAAGAAGAGTTAGATCTTACCTTAATATACCAAGATTTGCATCCTGTTGATCCACAACTACCAGTACAAGTTGAGGATGACTGCAAGAATATCCATCACCACCCAGGTCAGCAACAAGAAGGGGCAGATCTTACCTTATACCAAGATTTGCATCCTGTTGACCAGACTGCATCAATGGACTAACAGATCTGCGGATCAAATTTGGCTGACCTACCTTGAAAGCTTGGCCATATTTGATCCGCGAAACAACTTTGGTTATGAGTGCAGCACAAGATCCAAACAAAAGATACCTTATACAGTCAACTGTTGCTGATGAAGCAGTGTTGGTGCCATTGTTGTGGGATGTTACGTGTAGGAGTGTGTGTTGAAAACAGAAATATTTAACTTCAGGGTATATTTATATATTAGCTGAAAAATATTATTGTTATTATTATTATCAAGCTTTAGAATGTAGTGGGGAGGGGGGAACATCCACTGTTACCCCCCCCCCCCCTTGCAGGCCCAGGCACTACATTTTTAAATCAAGTAGCCATTAAAAGTTGTATTCTAATATATGAAATCAACAAACAGAAATATGAGTTATAACACTTCTTTTATTCATATCCGTTTGGACCCTTCATTCAAATAGTTGATTTCTCTCTTTTTGGCCAGACACACCTACCTTTGACAACACACAGGTGCACACTTACACAAATTTTTCTCTTACTTAACATTTGAGTTTATTTCCATTTTTGACACTTTATTACACAATAACAGATTTACCATCATTTTAATATAATCAACGAACAATATTGTTAAGATGTAGAAAATGTCAAAAGAACACTTTTACATATCTAATTAGTTCAATAATGATACAGTTAACATGCCTAAGTACTGAATCTGAGGAAAAACCACTGATATGCAAAAAAGGCATAACTTCAAGAAAACAGAACCAATCAAGCTGATTTTCGAACTCAGCCGGTATTTTAGTGAGATCATTCCTGTGAGTTTGAAGACCATAGGCCTATTGGTTTTCCTTGAAATGTGTTATCAGTGCCGCATGTATGCTGAAAATTGCAAAATATATATGAAAACTAAAGATATGTTAAAGCAAATAGTTGAGGGAAAAAAAAGGGAATAGGTTGGCGCAGATGGTTCTCAGCACTGTTTTTCATTTGCTTCTTCAAGGTACTGCTTGTTCTGAATCATTATTATTACCTTCACTATCCTAAAATCTTTCATTGTATATAAAGGTTCTTTGGTGTTGTTTACATTATTATCATTGTTATTTTGTAACCTTTCAATGTATTTACTTTTCATGGTGATGCTTATATTAAAACTTGCAGTGTACACATCTTGATGGCGCTTATAGCATTGTTATTGCTATTGTCAAGGTACATAATTTTAAAGGTGTTGTCAATATTTTATTTAGTATAAGTTGGTGGAAGTCATTTCCATGGCAATGCTTACAAAACTCTTACTGCACATAAAAGTAATATAATTATATTTTTCTTGTTTGAAAAAAGGAGGAATGTGTTAGGAACCACAGTACAGAAAATACTGTATCTAGTACTTTTAAAACATCCATACATGATGTAGTATAAATTCAATCAGAGGAAGCCATAGTTTGATAAAATTCACACACAGAAAGCCAAGATGTATAAGTAGCTTTAGACCCCATTCCCACAGATTTTAGATCGATCTATCCCCGTGGGGAGTCTCACTAGATTACTGTCAGTTTAGCCAGCTTAAAAGTCTGTTCTGCCTACTAAAATCTGTAAGGGGGTAATTAACTTCCGTGCGTGGTCGGCTGACAGCAATTAAGCGTGAACCCCCAGGGAGTTAGGTCGATCTAGATGGATCGATCTAAATCTCTGGGAATGCGCTCTTAGACTGGGTTCCTATGCCTAGATCGATCCATCTGGATCGATCTAACTCCCTGGAGAGTCTCACTAAATTGCTGTCAACTAACCGGCTTAAATGTCTGTCACGCCTACCTAATAAGTTATAGGGAAAAGATAATTACCCCTAACAGCTTTACTAGGCATGACAGACATTTAAGCCGGTCAAGTTGACAGTAAATTAGTGAGACTTTAGATAGATTGATCCAAATATCTGTGGGGATGGTCCCTTAGATTATATTTCATACTTAGCAGTTCAAATTTTACTTTCCTTTGTTTGAAGCCAGTAATTTATTAGAGCTTGATGACATGGAGTTATTAGGAGTGCCCACAAGAAGGGGATAAACTTGTGTCTAAAGTAACCAATCAGTTTCTAAGTTATGTGATTGACAATTTAATTGATAAAGTTTGGCATAAAAATCTGTGAACTTAAATCTAGAGAGGAGAGAGGAGATTGACAGAGAACAGGGGCGGATCCAGAGATATTTTCCAATAGTTTTCCAAATTACTTTGTTGATTTATCTTCCATTTTCTTCCAACAGAAAAAATTGGATATCCATCAATGTAAACTTGAAAATTTGACCGTCTTTCAACACCCAGAAGACAGCCTCAATCCGCCCCTGGAGAAGGGGGAGAGCTAGAGACCGTACTTGTACCATGTAACTCTTAGTGTAGTAAAATAAATTCTGTAGAAGTTATAACATGGAGTCTTTTCATTCTTTTCCGTGTGTAGAGTTTAAGGCTAGAACCTGGGACTCTCTGTAACAGTATTACATAGGTTTTATATTAAAAGTTATTTAATGTAATGTGGAGGCCCCGGGATAAGTAAAGGGAGGTACCCAACACTAAGCATATGACTTCCTATTCAAGCTGAATAGTAACTATGGGTGTATCTCTGTATCTCTGCTAATTTTGGAGTATTTCACATTTTAAAGGGATAATAACTCTTCATATGAGATCTATATTTCACAATAAAAACATTGTGAACTAGAGGATCAGAGAGGCGATACCGCCTCCGAATATTGTACCACCAGCTGGAGCAAGCGCATTCGTATAGACCCCCACATACACAAAATAAGGGACACAGCCACCAATCTTGTGCTTGACAAGCTGTAAAAATGCAATCAACAAGAATTTTCAAAATATGCAAAAAATATATATAACTAAAAATGGTACAATCAAATTTAAGTTCATCGTAAGGTAGGTCAAAGGTCAATTTCAAGGTCACATTTAGATTGCCAGTATATGACTTCCTAGTCAACTTCAATAGTAACTATGGACCTATCTCTGCCAGTTTTGGAGATAAAAGGGAAGCAAAATTTGCAAAGTTCAGTTCATGGTGAAAAGTAGGTCAAAGGTCAATTTCAAGGCCACAGTAAGATTGCCAGTATATGACTTCCTATTCAACTTCAATAGTAACTATGGACCTATCTCTGCCAGTTTTGGAGATATAAGGGACTAAATGTTATAATTTTGGAGTTACCATAATGTGCCTTAAATTTCGTACAGAAAAAATTAATTAAAATAAAGAAAATGTCATTTTGGTCAAAATTCTTGAAATAGGAGGTGCTCTGAAGTTTCAGAAGTTCAAATTTGATGAAATAATGTCATTTTTGAACACAAGTTGTCTGCTTTGCCAAGCCTTATGTTTTATTTTTCCAGAGTTCAAAATTTATTATCCATTACCGTACTGCACATTTTGCTTTTACCACCAATATGTACTTTTTGATACAGCGTAACTCGAAAACCGTATGGAATACAAAAAAACCGAGACCACCTCCAGTGTTGGGCTTTACATGCTCTACAAAATGCAAAAAAGAATGGGTCTCTAGCATTAACGGTTCCCGAATTAGAGACAGTTTTCAGTTTCGGTATCTTATGGCCGCTACTCCCGTGAAAATGCACCGATTGACCCCAAATTCATGGAGATGAAAGATGACCTGAAGGGTAACACTTTCCAATAATATTATTGGTTAAGTCTGTGTGGTGTCTGAATAACAGGGCAAAAAAATTTTTTTTCGTAAAAAATTTCATTTTTTTGAAAATTTTGGCCCATTTGACCTTGAAGTAGAGGTCAAAGGTCAAATCCAAGGGTATATTTGAAATCTACACATATGACTTTTGGAAAGCCGTCTATAGAAATTTTTCCCATAACTCCTTCCGTAGGGTAGATAATTAGCATTTAATTTTGCCATTTTTAGACAAGGGTGCATTGCAATGAGTGCCACACCCAGACCCCAATACCGACAAAGCCCAAATTTTACGTGGAACGAGTTGAGATTATAGGTGACCTAAATCCATGAGATGGGTACGGGGGCCCTTACCGTCTAGGAGGAGAAGCGGTAACGGTAGCCGTCCGGCGGAGCCGGCGGAGCCAACGGAGCCGGCGGAGCCGGCGGAGCCGGCGGAACGATCCGGACGGGACCGAAACCATGTGTACCGCCAGCGCTAACGCTGGTGGTACAATTAAATCAAAGTAAGCTGACAGTGCATGCTACAACATTTGGGCTGATCTTTTGCTTCCTATAATTAAGTCTTTAAAAAGGATACCCATCTGTCCAATGAAACCATGGATTAAATACAAAATCCAGTCTGAATTTGCTTGAGTCTTGAAGTCTTTCAGGAGGTAGCTGTTCCATACATACTTGTCCTCTGGTTCATTTCTTACTCCATAAACCAAATCATCTGGAAAGGAATTGGATGGTGATTAATTACAGTAGTTGATAACTAAAACAGACTAGCATATAGTTTGGAGCACCTAAAAAGACCCGCAAAACATTGTCTTTGTATCATAATATTTTGATGTTAATGCACAGTCTATTCTCAAGAGTTAAATGTCTTAATGAATAGTTCATCTGACCAGAAAAGGTCAAAGTAATAATTCATTTTCCAAGAAACAAAAGTGGCTGATTAAAACCCCAAGCATATGCTTACCTTCCACTTGTGATGAAGCAGTCTTGTTGTTATTTTCCTCCTTTTTTCTGGCACTGTCCCCGTTTGCGTCACCATCCTCACCAGATGTGCAGTCATCCGAGGTGTCACCTATCTCTAACTCCTGTACATCAGGGACATACGTGTCTGCATCTTCTACCTCTTCACCTGTAGACTCGGGAACATATTTGCTTGGCTTGAGCACAGAAAACTTCCTCTCCTTCTCCTCAATGTTTTCTTGCATAAAGTGGTTCTCTAGGTTTTTGCTTGGCGTCAGGTTGTACTGGAGGGTGTGTGTAAGATCATAGCTGTAACTGCATAAGAGATGAGAATTCTTTACAATATCTTTAAGTCACTAGAACTTTTTTAGAACATTATTAAGGAGAACTTTAAAATATCTAATTCAAATATTTTAGTTTATGTTTATTTTCACTGTATTTCAGGCCTACAGGCCAAGAGTACATCAATTGGGTTCTATTTATAATAATACTGAGCTGACTACACAGAAATATATAACATAAATGACACAAATCACTTATCTAAAAAAACCTCTCAATTTCTCAGCATGATATATGAAGGCCGCAAGTCTTTTTATAAAGTCAACATTATGTGATGACAGAGCAGTCGCTAGTGACAATGTTGTAATCTCGGGAATATAGCGTTCCCTCAGACCGTTATATAATCAAATATTTTAGTAAAATCTATTAAGTGTGTGTACATCCACACATGTGCAGGAGGATGTTCAAGAATGCATTACTTACCTAAAATAAAAGTTACTGGACAAATCATTAGCCTGGAACATCTTCACATACCTTGAAGAAAATAATACAAATATAAAATGTAATCATCATAGATATTTAGTGTAGCAATCCAAATAATATGACAATCAAAGAATCAACTGCTATATAACTGAAATGAACCTTTCAGGTAATAAAAATAAAATATTTACTTTGATTCGTCAGGATGCGAAGGTCTTTCATTAGGAATGTAAACCATGCTGGTATCTTCTATCTTATAAATCGTGTGGTGTCCAATAATTGCAACCTTCCTCCTCTTGGTGATGAGAACCATGTAATAGCCCTCCAGAAATCTAACAAAGCCTGAAAACAAAAAGATGCAGCTGTTTTTTTACACAATACAATTCTAAAGAGAGGATGACCTAAAACATTTTTACAAAGGAAAAGGTACAAATAATCACAACCCATCCCAATACATGTCTTAAACATCATGCCTGCAGGTGGGGGCCAGTTTCAAATGAACCACCTTTTAGGCTTGAAAGGGTCCAATCTGAATCCATGATTCACCTACCTGTAAGTTTAATGCCATTTTCAAATCAAGGAAGAAGAACAAAATCTTTGAAATTGCTGAACTTAGTAACAAGGGAAAATGAACATCTGTTCATTTTTTTTTTCAATGAAGAGCACTACTTACCTACAATTCCAAATGCTGACACAGCTCGGTGCAGACCAGCCACCACTCCCTTGCTGCCCTCTTTTGGTCGGTTACCAGAGTCTATCATATGAAGTAAGTTGCGAATTTCTCTGTGGGTGTATTCCAGCTAACAATGTAATAAGATGTTTTTAGGAAGAAAAAATTGAATGTCTAAAAGTCATTTCAAAAATTAAAAAAAAAATTAGATGGATACCTTATGACAAAAAATACAAATTGCCTAAGTCTAATTGAAAAGGAAATTATTCTGTCTTGAAATAGAATAACGATTCACCATCTCCTTGAAAAAAACATCATCTTTTTACTTAATTAGTATTAATAGCATGTTATATAAAACAATGGCAAGTGACATGTATTTAACAACAAAAATGATCATTAAGGACTACTGAATATTTGTATTTATGGACAGCATATGTAAACAAAATAAATGTGACTTGTTATAATGTAAGGCAATCACATTAACTCATTACTGTTTCTTTCATTCTATCAAATTATAATATCTGAGAACTCTGATTCTTAGCACACAAGAAAAAAAAACATAAAAAAATGGAAATACACAGGCTTCACACACTCATTAATTGATATTTATATCACACTGGTGTCAACTGTGTCTGAACTAAGTAAGATATTGCCTCAAATTATCTGATTACCCCATCATCATGTAAGACCAGGTCCCTGCTCTCCTGGCGGTCTATTTTAAGAACTCTGAACCTGCTTTCAGTATTGTTGGAACCAACAACATAATAACGCTGAAAACAAAAAGACATCTGAGTTAGAGGTGGGCAGAGTGCAATGCATAGCTCCTTTAACTGGTTATTATACATTCCATAATACTTAATGTATATAATATTTGTATTTCATAAAAAAACAGTAAAAGAAACAAACCAACTGACAATAAAAAAAACAAAAACTCTTATTCTAAACGTGTATTAAACAGCAAACACTGACATATTCTAATGCATTTTTATTTAGTCTTTATCTTGCACTTAATATTTTGGTTTTTACTCACAGCTTTAGTTTCATAGACAACAATTCTCTGCATACAACTTATGCAGAATCTCTCCATGCTGCACTGTGGATAGTGCTACAACTTATAATGTTGATGTCATATCTGAAAACAAACATCTACAGTATATGTACAAACATACTTACAGCTCTTGTAAAATACACATCAATCTTATGCATCATTGTCAACAGGAAAGATGGTCTCATATTTTTCTTGTGTCCCTGTATCTCTGCCATCTATTTGTTTACTTTCTCTGACCTACTTGTTGATATGTGCTTGTGCATATGTACAGCTCTACTGAGTGTACAAGCAATGCTAGGATCAATCTCCACTATCTGATAGCAAACCACATATATCATAAACTAAAAGAGAACTGTCTGAATTGCTTTGGGGCGTGTGACTAGCATATATACATATAAATCATAGCCGGAACAATGACATTTGATATTTTTATGTGAGAAAACTATGTCAAGGTTGTTGTTGTTACTGTAAAAAGTACATTTCTGATAAATAATATTTTCCCCAGAATATAACAATGAGCAAACATACTTCTCTCTTTTTTTTTTAGCTGAGCAACTGTAATACATAATGATGTACATTTATGTCCCACATTTCAAGGAAATGTCCTAATTTGACTATGTGCATCACCTTGCAGTATTTCAAGTACTTTTTCTTTATCTCTACTGCACACCTTGCTTAATGAGGCAACTTTACTTGCAATTTTCAGTCTCAGGAGATCTATTTTAGGGTCAATACTTATACAATTTTTAAACCTTTGTCTCATGTTGGGTACTTTACATAATAATTAATCAAAATATTTTAGTTTAAATAATATTCCTCTGGCAGGTTTTATGTGTAACCCAGTATATATAATAGTAGCATCTGTACTAGTACACATTTGTATTATCGAATATTTTTCCACTGTTGACCAAACCTGAACCTAGTCGGCCTTAAGTCCCCAAGATTACCTCATCTTATGTCACCCTGACCCAGTGCAGGAGGTCACAGCTACATGTAGAACATGCTACATAACTAATAATAACATGTAATGAATGAAAAAATGTCAAAGTGCAAGGATGTAGCAGCTGGTAAGTAGTTGCATATAAATCATGATAAATAAGGTTTGAAGAGGGGTGGAAGCAAATTACACAAAACGAAATCATCTGAAATATATTCAAGGTAAAATACAACATATTTGGCACCTGTCATTACCTTGGGGATTTTATCAGTGGGGCATCTTCACCTTCTCTCTTACTGCGGAAGTGTGCCGTATAAACAGTGAGATTTCTCGTGTAGAGCGAGATATCACGAGATCAGGCATGGCGAACATCGTGAAAGTGCAACTAAACTGCTCAATGATTAATTTTAACTAAGTTCACAGTTATTTGATGGCATAATCATTTATCGCTAAGCGTTGTTACGAGCAGAATTACATCTGTACTATATCAGGTACAACTTTGATAGGTTCACCTTGAAATTTGACCTTTTGCAGCGTTTGTTTACAAGTAAAAGTGTACGCAAAAGCAAAAATATCTGTGCCATGTAATGCAAGAGCACGTTCAAAGTCACGTTCTAGTGCGTCATTAGCATCGTTGCTTTGATATTTTGTCAGTGATATAGGACGATAATGCGTGCTGATTACTGAAGTTCAGAATTTCAGTACGCCCAATACTGCAGATTTTAAAGTTTTTTTTTTCATCAGTGCATTATTTTCAGCTTTTTAAGTTGGACTGAAATTAAAATATTAAAGCTAGCTACGAACACAATCCATGTAAGGGTGAATATAACAAACATGATTTTTAAATACTATTTCCAATATGTGTTTGTCTCACAATTTCAGTAAAAAGTTGATTCGATAGTCCAGTAATAACATTGCCTTGGGCACAGTACATAAATGTAGTGTGATATATCTATAGGTGTAGTATGAATTCTGAAATCATGTTATTATTTTGCAGTAGGCAGTTATGCTTGAGGGCCTTGCAGCATGGGTTCTGAACACATATGTAGGGGAATATCTGGAGAATCTCAACACAGATCAACTTTCCATTGGTTTACTGCAGGGTATGTGGCAATTGATTTTTGATCTTGGTTATCCTATGTGTATTGTATCTGAATTCAAAACTTCATCTGCCTGTTACATCTACTTGTAGTTTACACCAGTTTAAAGTGGTTCACATTGAGGTACAGCCGTATTCATAAAACTGCCAACTGGACAAATGCTTTGTTTTACTTGATATATATACCTGTTTTAAAATTCCAGTGTGTGTGGCAGTTGCTTTCCATGAATTACAGTCTTAACAAATAAATAATATGGGCTTTAAAGGTTTAAGGTTATCAAAATTAGATAACATTTATGGACTTTAAAGATTTAAGGTTATCAAAAATTAGAGTGATATCACATTATTCATTAACTGATCATTTTTGTAGGTGCCGTGGAGTTGGAAAATCTTCCATTGAAAAAAGATGCTCTCAAAAGTTTAGACTTGCCAATTGAGGTCAAAGCAGGTAAAGATGGCTTTAATATAGATATCTCATTGTTTAAATATCTTTTGTTATTGTTTTTGGCAAAGATGATGACTTACATTATGTAAAATCTTATCTAAAAGCACACATACTTTACTTGGGGTATTTTAAATCTCAAAAAAAGATTTGTCTGTTTTAGTAAAGTGATACTAGAAACTTTTGCTTATTATAATATATAAATGCAGAAAAGTGAATCTTTATCTTATTATATTTCAGGATTTGTTGGTAAAATCTCTCTGCAGATCCCAGTGAGAAGACTGAAGAGTGAGCCTTGGGTTATCTCTCTAGATAAGGTCTACCTAGTAGCAGGGCCTCTGTCACATAAAAAGGTAATATACAGTATGAACTAGCCATCATGATATGTCTATGACTTATTGTTTTATAATACATGAGGAAAGGAAACTTTTTGATTAAGTTACAAATTTCTATCTCAGTTAGAGGAATGTGTATGGAAGTGAGATATAGTTAGCTTATTAACTAAGTAAAAGGGGTAAGTTAGATTTTCACTAAATTAAAGTAGACCAAATTGCACAATCATTCTACTTCAGGAAAGCATCCCATAGTTTCAAGTAGGTGGTTGTAGACAAATCTTATTAATTAGACTGAATTGGATGTGGATTGATTGTTATTATTGATTGTATGTGTATTATATCATTACAGTATGATGAAGAAAAAGAGCAGAAAATTAAAGATGAAAGAAAGAGAGCACAACTCCTTGAGTTAGAAACCAAATGGAAGGTATAGTTGAGCCTTAAAGCCATGTTAGACAATGTTGAATAGCATGATTAAATAGTGGATCATTGCCAGCTAAATGTTTCAGTATTTTGAATCCTTAAATACAAATTTTGTTTTCCATGGTTTTCTAATGCTAAATTTGTTTAAGTGAGAAATGAAGTAACTCATTTTTCCCTGGAATATGTTACAATTAGAATATTGAACTTACATTGGTGAGTAGCTATATTCATGGTAATTCCCAAGGTGAAATGTAATTTTTTTAATGCTGCTAGGTAGCAAGACAAGCTCATGTAGAAACCTCTTCATGGCTTTCTCTGGGATATTCTTTGGTCTCCAACATTGTGGAAAACCTACAGGTATACATAATGTATATTTGATTATATATATGCTTCCACTCAGTTATTTCACTGACATTACTCTCATAAATAAAAAAAGCAAAAATTTGACCTGTATTTAACTGCATGTTAAGCTGTGAATATTTAATGAAATATTCAGTTCAATCTGGCTCAACATGTTTTGCCTCATAAATAATGGATGACAGACTGTGATAATGTTACATTCAACACTTTAGAAATATCCACACTATCTGCTCCATAAATTGAGTGAATATTTCATTATTAATGAAGAGTTGTGACTTTATTACATGCCAATTCTGTTTTGTGATGCTTTAACTTATTTGAAATACCCTGTCCTTGTAGCTGAAAGTCAACAATGTCCACATCCGCTATGAGGACAACCAGACCATCCCTGGATGCTCTTTTGCCTGTGGGATAAGGATTAAAAGCCTGTCTGCTCAGAGCACAGATGGAAGTTGGGTATGTTTACATGAAACATATATAACAAAAAAGATTAAAAAACAAATTTTGAAACATCTCTTGGCTTTCATAAAAGTATGCAATTTTATAAACATATTTATTTATACTGTACAAAAAGCTACATAGATGTGGTCCAGTTTCATGTGTCTAAAAAAATGCTGGTGTATATTTGCACTACAGTCATTTAATATTTAATTTTTCAAGGTGCCAAAGTTTGTTCACAAGGCAGAGGCTGGGGTGATGCACAAGCTGTTAGATCTCCAGGATTTCTCCATATATTGGGACACAGATGCAAAATTGTGTGGAGACATGACTAGCATGCAAGAGCTTGCTGTAAGTGTGGTACTATAGGCTCATAGTAGCATGTGAAATATTTACCCAATGCTAAAGAAAAGTCGCATTGTGACAGAGGATGATTTAACTGAGATTTGATTAAAAAGTAAATGATTTGGCTTATAGAAAAATCTTTCTGTAGTAACCATCAGTATTTTCTTTTTTTGATTTTTGATTTTATATACTATAATAATGTGTGCTATATAAGTTTACAATGTATGGTTTAATTGAAAAACTTTCTTTATGTTTGTATATAAACAATTTAAACTGTTGTGGTTTTTCAGGATGTTTTAATAAGAGACATGGGCCAGTCTGCTTCCACTGGGATTTTCAAAGTGAGTGTGTAATTGTTGTTCTGTGGTGTCCATCTGGTGATAATTAACCATTTACTTAAAAAACCAAAATAATTGTAAAAATAGTGACAGTCTTGCCACATACAAGTAAAGTTGATTTGATACACTTGTTACTCTGTAGATAGGCATCATTATATTTTTGGTTAAAAGTAATTGAATGGTGAGAAGAATTGACAAAAAGTTCCATGACATGTCACATAATTGAAAACCCTTATAAATCAGTTCATTATTCCCCTACTTTCAGGATCACAATTTCATCCTGGAGTCAGTGAATGCAGAAGCCAAGATGAAGAGGAACACATCAGAGCTTCCAATTAGGTCCACGACCACTCCTAGGATCAACCTGGACATCAAACTACAGCAGCTGCCCATATCCCTGAGTGAGGGCCAGTACAGGGGAATGGTGGCTTGGATGAAGGAGTTTGACAGATATGAAAAACACAGGATATTCATGAAATGGAGGCCTTTCTGTACTGTGATAGAAGAGTATGTTGATAAATAGAAATTGATGTTTTTGTATGCCTTTCTACGTACATTTTTTTGCCTTGTGTTGTTAAACTGCAACAATTTGAAATATTTGTAAAACATGTATGAAGAAGACAGAAGAGTTGTATAGTCTACATGAATGTATTCATGTGATATGAAATGAATCACTTGAAATTTGTAGACTTCTCTTAACTTATACTACAATTTGCCTTTCTGAAAACCATTCTTCTGTATGATATTTCAGTCCTAAGGCCTGGTGGTTGTATGCCATTAACTCCAACCTGTTCTCCATACAAGAAAGATGCAAGAGACAGAGCAAGGAGTACATCCTGCAGAGGGCCAGGGATAATGTCGTATATGTGGAAGGCTACAGGAGAGAACTCAAAAATGAATATCTGACACCTTCTCAAATAGTATGTGCTTTGTTTACTTGGGTCTGTGTATATCCTATTCTAAAATATGGGAGATCTTTTGCAACAGAAGAAAGCAGAAGGGCTAATTACTGCAAATTATTATTTAATTTTTATTCTGAAATCCACATCATTTAAAAAAGAATAAGAATAACCAAAATTATAGTAGTTTGGAATCGACTTTTCTTTAATTTTAGGTTGGTACATGAATACTCAAAAAAAGAGTGTAGATGACACAAGAAACACCAAAAAAATAATAATAAAAGAATTTACCATTATAGGCTGTGAAAGAAAAGTTATTGATGGAGTTGAGCTTTGAAGAGTTGAAAATTTTGCATGAACTAGCCATGGAGTTAGTAACAGCAGAAGAGAAGCACAAGGAAAGGGAAGAGCAGAAAAAGCAAGAGGTGTGTATTTAGTCCTAGACTAGTAATATAAAATCACATCTTGTCATGAATTACTTTTAATTTTCTTTTACATGAAGATGAATAAAATACGCTTTTGTTGGAAGTGTAGATAAAGAGATTATAAAGAGATTACAGAGGTGTTGATATTTATATATAATATTTAATCATTTAATTTCTCTCTCTTTCTGTCTTTTAGAAATCAAAACAAAATGGGAAGGGTGCTCCCCAGGCCCAGCAGCACTACCTGGGGATGTTTCAGGGGTGGTGGAGTGGCTGGGGTGGGGCCTCTACAACAGCTGCAAAGTCTACAGGGGAACCACCCCCACAGGATAAAGAAGAGAAGCACCCCCTTCCTGAGTTAGATGAAGATGAGCCTCCTGCAAAAATAGCTAAACATGAAATAGGTAATTGTGAACATGTTCTGTTTTATCAAAAGCAAAGGTTATTTCAGAGCATATACACTATACTGTTTCACTTTGCTTTGATCATCAAAAATTGAATTTTATGACAGATTTAAAATACTGTATGCAAATTTTACATCATGTTGAAATGATGTTTAAAGTGTGATCTATATTGCTGTTTGTTTTTCAGAGCAAGAAATAATGGATGTTTTCCATGAGGCTGAAGAAAATACTTCACTGTTGAAGAGGGATTTTGTGTTTGCCAGACTGAACTTCTGTCTGCAGAGTGGCTCTTTCCAATTAAAGGGTGAAAATGCTGCATCACTTACTACAGGTGTGTTTCATCAAATAGTGGTCACTTGTTATGTGAGAGATAAATTTGATTTACTGTATTTGCGGTGAAGTAATATATAAGAAAAATTTCTTTTGTGCAAATATGGAATGAGTCTCATATTCAGAATTTTTTTAATAATGTATATTGAAAATTAAATGCAAGATTTGTTAAATTTTCCCTTTGAAATATTCTTCTCATCATTCCAGACACCCATGGCTCAAGTCCCCTCCTCGTTCTGGAGTGTACTAACATCAAGATGGAGTTTGAGAGTAGACCACGGTTCAAGTCTCTGCTGTTTGGCATCAGTGTGGATGGGTTGGTGCTGAAGGACCTCCTGACACCCAACACTGTCATGCCCATACTAATCTCTCCACAAATGAGGGTAAGGGACACTGGGTTACTATGTGCCTTTTTTAGTCTGCTTGTCCTTCAGATGCCAGGGTATAAGAATTTTCTGGTCCAAGGCAGAAATAAGGTCCAGTAATTAAAATTTTTACAGTTTCACTGGCCTCAGTTCAATTTTACTGATGTGGAAAAAGTGAACAGTGCTGACCGACTTCACTGTGTTTACACTGGGTAAATGATACCTCTTTATATAATTCATATAAAGAAAACTTGTATCTTGAGTTAATCTGAAGCTACTGTATTCTAATTATTTCATTTTAGCAGTAAAGAGATTCACTGTTGTGCAAATTGATTTATCATTATTATTATTACAAAGTGTTTGCCAACTTTAACCATTAAAATTACAAATTTAACTTAACAAGTCAAGTTACTGTTTTGCCCCTGATTTGACTTTCAGGACAGAAGCAGCCAGGTGAAGCATTTCTTCACAGGTTTTGGTGGTGTTGGGGCAGACCAGCACCCTCAGGAACACGGAGGGGCTCTGTTCTCACACTCCAGAGTGGCAGAGGAGGCCATATTCCAGTTTGAGTATGAACAGAAACCACTGGGGAGTACAGCAGACCACAGGTAGGGGGCAGGGATGAGAGTTCTGGATGACTGTGCAAAGTAGAGGTAGTCACTGTATTGTTGCAGTTGATATCAAACTGAAAAGAAATGTTTTAGATATTGTACTAGCTAATACAGCTGACCACGGGAAGGGTGCACTGCTGGTAATCTGGGCGACTATGTGAAGGTTTTTCTCACTGAACTGAATTAGACCCATAGGCCCTGGTTCTCTGCAGACCAGAAAGGCAGATACTGATATTTGAGCACAATTATGTGTATGTGTATAGGTAATCTTTTGATACATCCTGCAAATTCTTGTTATAACTGGATTAACAGCTGTTTTCTTACAGATGACTGTTTTACTTTGCTGATATATTCATTCTAGGGTATTTATGAAGACAAAGCCTCTAAACATTGTCTACAACCCTTTCACTATTAAGAGAGTGAGAGAGTTTTTCAAACAGAGAGCAACTGGCATTGCACAAAAACAGTCTGAGATCCATTTAGCAGGTAAGAACTCCCTAGTGTCAATAAAACTAATAAAGTATTGCATAAATATTGAAAAAATGTATAAATCAGGCTATATTGACATATCTGTGGGAAAAGTACCTCAGAAATTTATATTCCCACGTTTTCTAGTTGATGCAAGAAGAAAATATGAAGAACTGAAAAATCAAACTAAAGCTGAATTGAAGCATACTCTTGATCAAATGTTGGAGGGAAAGGAACAGGTAGGCCTTGCTATCACAGCTATGTTTGAATTATCTCTACCAGATAAGCATTTAAGAATATGGAATGTTTTATTACATAGATATTTCAAAATGGAATAGCAGCCATGTTTAAAACTTGAACTCAGATGGTAATGAGATATATTTTTGTTAAAGTGTACTTTGATGTATTTCTTTTGTATCATTCTTTAAATTTTTCTTTCCAATTTCAGAGAAAAGCCAAGCGTTGGGAATTCAATCTTGATATCACTGCCCCACAGTTTGTGTGCCCAGAGAATTTCCAGGATCACAACACAACTTTAGTGGTGTTTGACTTTGGCCACCTTTACTTCAGGAATTCCTCGGCTAAGATCAAGAAGAAGGACATGGAGATGCAGGCCTCTATTGATGATGATGATGGTGAGTAGATGTGAGAGTTCAAATAGCACATGATTTTGGCACTTCTTATGGACTAAATATAAATATGATATAGGAAAAATTGCAGGAACTCTTGAAGCACATTTGTTCTTTTAATTAGCACTGAATGAATTGAAAGGTGTTGAGTCTGCTACCATGTATGATGAAACATAAGTGACTACAAGACATTTCAAGTTAAGAAAAAGATATGAATGTTCATTGAAATTAGTTGCTACCTTCTAGGTAAGTTTATGTTTTATCCTTGCTTATAACTTCAGAATGGTTCACTATCAGAGGACCTTCACATTCCCAGTATTAATTTCTAACTCTCAGTCACATTTAAGTATGCTAGAATTCTAGAATTTATCCCTTTTATGACCTAAGAATGCTTCATTTTCAGAGGACTTCCAAACTCCCAGCAGTACTCCACCTGGTGAGGAGGAGGAGACAGCTGATGGGGAGGAGGACTCTGACAATGTCTCCCAGGCAACCACAGTGACGTCCAATGAGCTGTCAGAACTTTTGGCTGCCAATCTTCCTGCACACGATTTGAGGAGTAGACTCTATGACAAGTTAGTTTTATGGGATGTTTATCATTTATACTGAATTTATTGATGTAATTATAACAGGATACAATTACATAAAATGAAAAAATGTCACAGAAAGATGGCAGATAATCTGATTTTGAAGTTTGGGAAGAGGTATTGTCACAAAGACGTGAATATTGTGTCACTTTTAGTCTTTTGAAGGACATTCTTCCTGTCTGACATTTTGAAAACAATCTTTGTTGTGTGTCAAAAACAGCACTGTAATGCCACCTTTCTGTCCTTTTGGATATGAAATATTTCTTTGAAAGTATTGAATTGTAACGTACCAGAAAAGATCACGTACACCCATCATTGTTTCACAGGTATATCCTTGAACTCACAGAGTTACAGGTGATGGTAGGCAAAGGGAAAGACAACTGGAAACAAGCCCACTATAAAGGTTCAGGGCACATGCACATACTGGACAGGTTCACCATATCTCTGCAGTTTGAGAGAAGACTCCTGTATACTGATGATCCCTCCTTCCCCAGTGCATCCATGTCAGGAAACATGCCCAGTCTGGTGATGCATGTTAATGAACAGAAGGTGAGAGAGAATTGACTTGATTTATGTAGTTATGACATTCCACAATAAGAATAGTCATTTGTGTTATGCCCTGAAATATGCTATGCTTTGAGCTTCTTTTCTGGTGTTCTTAAATGTGCACTTTACAGCCCATTTCGCTACAAATTATATTTAAATTCTCACCATCTGAGACTGCATGCAAGACAGTTATGTCATATAAAAGACCTGTTACGACCAAAAAAAGCGATAAATCTAATATAGAAGATACCTATAAATTATATATATTTGTACTTTTTATAACTATTTTTGACATCTTCAGGTGAAGGCGTTGAGGAAGTGTATAGACACCATCTCCAGTGACCCAGTCCGCCCCTCCCCCACTACCACCCCATCCCCTGCCACACCTGACACACAGCATACACAGCTGGGACAGTCCACATACCAGCTGTGAGTAGGAATATAGGAAGAAAGCTTATATTTTAATACATAACCTTATCACTTGCTTTTTCTTTAAGTATTAAAAGATAAATAACATTCAGGAGTTGACATTGATATCTAAAAAATCTCAGCATATTGCTTTGAAGGAAATCTGTCACATTTGCTTTGTAACAAATGTTAGTGTGATTTTGTTCATGATTTATGATATTAACTAAAGCCAGAGTGAATGCACATCAATTTTAGATTAACAAAAGGTGAAAGATAAGTCAGCAAGTTGTTTTAGACCTCATCTTACAAAACTTTTTCAGTATGTCAGAAGCCCAGATGCGTCAGCGCAGAGAAGTATCTCAAGAAAGTGTTTTATTACTGCTGCAGTTCACCATAAGTCAGATGGCACTGGATATCCAGAGTAGAGGTAAAGATATGTGAAGGAGAGAAAAAGATAATAAGTGTTTTAAAATAGTTTTAATCATTCATGTATTTCACATTAAAAGAATGCAAATTTATGTTTATAATTGAAAAGATTTACTCACCAAATTACTCCAAATTTAAATCTTATCAAACCTTTTCTATATTTTCATTAAGTTAGTAAATAAATATAAATTCAGTGAAAAACAACTGTGTTCCATATCTGCATACACCAGTTCCCTCTGTATAATCCCAGGTCTCCCTGTGGCAGAGATCCAGGTTTCAGGAGTCAGTGTGAATGCTACCAAGAGGACCTTTGACACCTCAGCCAAGTTCTCTCTGCACAGCCTACTGGTGGTAGATGCCATGCAGACCTTTGGAAGAGATTTTGAACTCTTGGTCGCATCGCACAAACGATTAAGGTTGGTTATGGCGCTGTGTGAAGAGATAGTATGGATACAAATAATGATGTACACTTCGATAAAGGGTAATTGAGTTTTCAGGTGAACAATAATGACATGCTTATTCAATCTCTGTGTTTGAATATTACATATTCTGAAATAGTATAAAGCAGGGCCTGCTTTGCATTTTGTCAGTCTACATTTATGTATTTTCTTAAAATAATGCACTAAAAGTGAAAAATTTATAAACAAAATTGCGACTGTTTGACTATTTCCAGCTTAGACAGCCACAGTGGCAGCATGCGTGACTCAGAACCTACCTCCCCCACTTCCCCACATTCCCCCCAGTCCCCGCAGTCCCCCTGCTCCCCCCAGTCCCCCAGTGATAAGATGCTGGCCTCCAGGAACCCTCAGACCAGCCTCAGTGCCTTCCAGTCAGCTTTCACCACAGCCTGGCAGAGCCTGAACCCACTGGCAGGTAGGACACACAGTAGTCTGGTTATTGCTTATAGGAGGAATGGTATAAATACACATTAGAAGAGTTTCAACTTGAGATTGGAATGAAAATGAGAGGTGAAATTGAGAAAAATTGTGTAATGAAATTTAACAACACATAGACCTGAACACACAAGAGAAATCATGATTTTACTGTTGCAGTCTGGTATAGGTGTTTAAAATTTAATGTAAAAAAATATCCAATTTTAGAATTATCAACCTGAAAAGTAAAACAGTGTCAGTATAAAGGCTTTCAAAAGTTACTGGCATTATTCCCATTATTTCCAATATTAAGCCAGGAGGAGGGAGCGTTCATATTCCTTTGACCCAGATCGTGCCGCCTCCCCAGTTCCTCAGCAGCAGCACAATTTTATACCAGTAGACGACACAAATCAAAGTGAGGATGCTCTGATTTATCTGGAGTTAGAACAAGTAGAGCCAGGAGGGCAGGCTGGCGGTGGCAATGAGGAAACTGAGAGGATCATCAACTTACAGTTTAACAACTTGGATGTTGTAGGTAGGTAGAATTAATTGGCTAATTTTGCTAATTTGCAAAAATGACCTAAAATTGCACTAAGATATTATAAAATTGGGTATTTACAGCAAATGGATGCACTCTCTTTATTATTGTTTAATTTCAGTGATTGACAAATGAAACCTAGGCAGACATAACTGTTGATTGGAAAAACTTTTATATCACAGTATGATCAAAGATGACAGTAACTATTGTTTGCTCTGCTTGTTTTCTAGTCAACCAAGAAACCATAGTGGAGCTCCTGAGGTTTTTCAAGGAGATAGCTCCACCCCAAGCTCAACACAAGTCCAAAAAGCATTCAAAGAAGAGCGAGTCACTCGTGAAAAGCATGCGGAGTATGAATAAAAGTGAATCAATTTTGCTAAATCCTGTGAGTAAAATGTCATGATCTCATAGTTTGACTTAAATTTTATATATCAGTATTATTCAAATTAATTGATATCTGAAAATTATTTGAAAATGAATTTCAGTTAACATTACTTGGAAAACTATCTGTAATGTTTTTAAAATTCCATCTTTTCTCATTGTTTCACCATTGTTTTTCTTTAGGGCCTGGGTGCCATGAAAACCACAGTAACAGCTGATGTCCGTAGGTTGAATGTCATGTTGATGAGAGTTGTAGAAAATGATTATGCCAAAGAGGCAAAGAAGGTCGCTATGGCAACCATGAGTAGAACAAAATTCTGCACCACATTCCATAGCACAGGTATTTCTTTCAGTTTTACCTTTTGTTGGATCTTTTGTAGGCATATTTTTTGAAATGGGTTAATTTGTAAGTATGTAACATTCAGCAAGTTAATGCATATAATTTTATTTGTATTTTATTTGAAAATATTTGATTATGTGTAAGTTTGTGTCTAAGACATCAGTTGGCATCTAGTCAATCTGTATTCCAGGAGAAAAGATGTGTTTCGATGCCTATCTGGGAGGACTTCAGCTTAAAGACCTCACTTACGACGGTCCTTTTCTTCACCGTAAGACGGTCTTCAGTGTGGGTCACGACCCAGAGTGCAGCACAAACTATGACGAGTTCTCTCACACAGAGATATACAACACGGCATATGAATCTGTCCTGGATGCAGATTGCCTTGATAAGGCACTGATATTCCAATATTCAGAAGGAGGGACATTTATGGATGAGTCTGAAACTTTTGATAACTCCCACTTTCTTAGGGATGACAGTGCCAGATGTGTAGAAATAAGAATGGCGTCGCTTCATTATATTCACTCCCCAAGCTTCCTTAGTGATCTGACATTGTGTGGGTCTGATATCAAGGATTATCTGACAGGAGCCATGGATAACATCAAGACTGCAGCCACAGAAATGGCCATGGGGTTTGTGTCTAAGAAATCAGACCACATGGGCACCTCTCAGTATCCCCTGGCTACATCCCACTTAGGTGAGCCTAGCAGAATGTATGGTTCGGAGGAAGATGTGTTCAGCATGATGGACAGACAGGGTGACATCCATGAAGGGGACGACAAGAAACTCGTGATCAGTGGCATACTTCAGAGCCCAGTGATAGTGTTGCCTCGCACTCCTACAAGCTCTGAAGTTCTGGTGGCTTATCTTGGGAAGACTTATTTCAGAAACAAACAGCTGGAAGAGGTGCCGACTTTGCCTAACATTCCCTTTTCTGAATCTTTCCTCAATGTGGAAGAAGAAGAAGAAGAAGGAGAGAAAATGTTCATTGAAATTCGAGACATAAGAATGTACAGCAGAGATGAAAAGGACATTGTTGAGAGCGAAGCTGTAAATCATTCACTGCCTGAAATTTATTCCAAAGCTCGCTGCGGAGTCCCAATATTACATGATACTATTATAGAACTCAAAATAGAAAAACAAGAGCCCCAAATAGGCTATATCAATAGAAACTCAACCCAAGAGTTTTCATTGGATGAGAATGTGTTTCCACAATTTGGGGACCAGACTCTGTCATATGAGTCTCCAGATACTGTGATACAGATCAGTGGCAGGGTTGTGACTCCACTCAAACTAGCCCTTCACAGGCAAGTCTATGAGCAGATTTTACAAACATTGGACAATCTTACGCATAATAATGAGGAATCACAGTCAAATGAGTCTTTTCAAGGCAGTGAAGGAAATGAGAGCATGCCGACCACAGAGTCCAGCGTGATGTCGGTGCCTAGTATGTCAGCCTTGAAACTTGATATGGGGGAGGTGGCCTCAAGTACCAGTATTACAAGCATTTCCAGCTCAACGGTCTCTAGTCAAGCAAGCAACCCCATTGCAATAAGAGCAAAATTTGACTTGCCTATATTTGATATTGAGATGCAGAATGATCTGGGAGGGGAGCCAAATAAGTCCATTGTACTTGTTAGTTTCAAGGATTTTGTGGTGGATTATGAGAAATCCAACCCTTACATAACTGAAATTGAAGTGGCCCTCCAATCACTAACTGTGAAAGATTTGCTGCAGGATGAACAAACTAAACATGGCTTCCTGATGGTGTCAAAAGGCGCTCTTCCCACAGGAGAGTTTGCTGCTGCGGGTGAAACTAAAATGTACATGTCCACGTCTTGCCCCGATAGTATGATACAGGCTGCGGCTCCTGACATGCCGCCATCTTTGCCAAGCAGTTTGCGACAGGAGAATGTCTTCACCGCCCGAGCTGCCCAGTCTAAAGGCAGCACAGCAAGCAGGACACATAGGTCCAGACAAGAGAAGTTAGTAATATTTTTAGATGTTTGACCTAATATTCAATTATTTACTTAAATTAAGATATACACACTGATGAAAAATATCATATGCATGTGTTGGTGATTGTGTTCCCTCTTTACTGTACATTCGTTTTTTCTCAGCTGATTGGGGTTTCTCAGTAGTTATAGAATATGGATATCTATGCATGTTTTGGTGTAGTAAAGTCACTTACCAGTATGCACATATGCTAAAACTTCTTTCCTATGCTAAAACGACTTTCATTACATTTCTTTGTGTTAATGGATTATTATCAGTGGCCTACATAGTAATGACTTAATTGACTCTTGTTGTGCCTTTTGAATGCATACAATCTCTTCAGTATAGTGTAGTTATCTTCACTCTCTCTATATCTGACTGTTCTGTTGTTTTATAGGGATTCAGATGAGAGGGATACATTTGCCAAAACCAGTTTATCTGCTGGCGTAATGCCGATACCTCGCTCTAAAATGTCCCATGTTCCTATCCCCAATCTACTTAGAAGTCAGCGCTTGCCTACATGGTACATCTTAGAACCCTAACACTAATTAACCCAAAGAAATATTTATCTAAATTCCTAAATTTGCATTTGAGTTTTTTACAATGCTGATTTATCACTAACAACGAATAATTTTTTTTTTTTTTTTTGACTAGATATCAGAAAGATGTTTTGACTTATAGCAATTTGATACCCTCATGTTTGCATAAATCTGGTGTAAAACCTTGACACATAATTTATTTTTTTTAGAAGTCCGCTTTTTTCTGCTTTAAAAACCCTTTATCGGTGTCTTCATTACTAGTATATGCATGGTATTAAGCCAGACTATAGATAATGTTACAATACCATGTTGAAACTAGAAAATGCTTCCTTTTAAGAATAATACCTTAATATCTATTTTATAGATGATTTTCATCTTCTCAATGAGTGAAATTGCTTTGTGGGAAAGGGAGGCCTTGTTATGTCGAAACAGGTGTTGGGATACTAAGAACCACGCTGGGAATTAGATATTGTGTGTCCCACTGCTACAATAATGATAAGCAAGATGGAATTCCTGTCATGAGCATTAGTCATTTCCATGAAAGAGGAAAATCATCAATTAATACAATAAAAAAGATTCTCTTCTACCCTTAAATTTCCGATTTTAATTTTCAACCATTATTTTGCTTTGGTTTATAATCCTTGCTTGACATTTTGAATTCTTGTTTTCTTTCATTTTTCACTAATATGTTATTGCCTTTGCATGCTTTCTAGGGATGAAATGCTTTTTTTTTTTTCTTTAATAACATCTTCACATATTAGTCCATTAGATTACATCATAAGTAGTCTAAAAAAAGAAATAAGCCATGAAGTAGCTCTTTTTATTTTTAAAATGGTTAACTTAAAGTACGTTATTGTTCTTTACATGGAGGATTATAGTAAAGATATCCTTTTTGATCAAGTAAAAGTCAACTGTACTTAATAGATATATTTTTATATGCCCCAATTCTTCAATATTGCTAATCCATGTGTTATATCCCCAGGCCCAGTGAGTACCCCAGCACACCCCCTCCCACCCCCCAGCTGTCCCTGCCTGCCATGCTGCCCCAGGACAGGGACAGGGGGGAGGCCCTGGTACACATCAAGGTACAGCTGGTGGATAGGAAGTGCCCTGAGTTTGCTACCACTTACAACAAGGTGGGCTGTGTTTGGCTGAAAAAATTACAAATTTTTAATATTAATTATGTTGAAAATGTTACATGTAAATGTAGAAGGATTTACTAAAATGGGAAAACAGATGTAAATAGTATAGCCATATACAGGTACATACATCCAGGCTCATTTTTGTGTTAAAAATGTAAAGCGCTAAAAACACTTGATATAAGGTTAAAAAATTTTGCAGGTTGTAAAAGAAAGGTTACGTGATGATTAAGCATGATATGTAAAGGCTTCTATTAATAAACATTAACAGAATATATCTCATACATTTCCAGACGAATCGTTTTATAGATGTTGATTTTAATGGGCTGGACACTACAGCCAATCTCAACACCTGGGTAGTGGTGTTGGACTTCTTGGGGATGGGAGCCAAGATACATGACACGGAGGCTTATTCTGAGAAGACTGACCCAATGACCCCACCAGCAGCGGATACTGTTAGTGAAGAGTCAGGTACTACAGCATAATAAGGATTAAGTCTGGATAACTCTATGAATTTAAGTCTGTTATAATAATACGTTTTTGTTTTTTTCAGAGATTTTTTCATACAGAAAGTTGTGCCTGTCTCCTTCACTGAAAGTTACTGTGTTATTCCATGGCTGCCATGAATCTTTAAACATACTTTGCAAACTTTTCTAGTTCTTTGATGTCAATTTTCAAAGAATAAAGTGAAATTTATACTCCTTTTCAAACATTAATTCCTAAATTTATATCAAAATAACCTCTGTATTAGGAGAAAAGGAAACGGTCAACTCCGAAATAGAACTGAAAGTGAAGAGCCTCAACCTCCTGCTGAACAAAAAAGAATATGAACTTGCCAAAGCCAATGTGTCCAACTTGAAGTGTCACCTGAAGCTACGAGATGGTAACATGGCTGTGTGTGGTCAGCTGGGCAGTATGTCCTTGACTGACCAGTCACCTCATGGGGTGCTGTACAGGGAGAAGTTCATGACAACAGGGACACAGGCTCTGGACTTTGACATATTCAAGTAAGAGATAACCATTTGGAATGTGTATTGCTAGAGTGTTGTATCAAGATATTTCAAGAAGTTTGGTCTTTGTTGTTGAAGTGTTCACTTTGTGAAGGAAATTTTCCACACGATGACAACTTTGGGAATGTATTGTGTGTACTATTATGTGTACCCATTTTAATCATACAGTACAAAGATGATACACTCTGTTACAATATTATTTAATGTGTTCCCCCCTCCTTGCAGGTATGGCACACCAGACCCCATGTTACGGCGTGAGTTTGACATGAGTGTGAAGCTCCGCATGGCTTCCGTACGCTACACGCACTCTCAGAGATTCATATCAGAAACTGTGGCATTTATTCAGCACTTCAACCAGATGCAGGAGGTGCTGGGGCGCATGAGAGCCTCCAGCTCTGGACAGAAGGTAATGATGAATTCTTCTAATATCAATCTTAAAAGTAATGTTTTATGTGCATTGACGTAATACAGGTGACAAGAGGGTACAGCTGTAGATTGATCATCAGAATTCATATGTTAAATTCAATATCAGAAGTACTGATTCAGAATTAAACTTTAAAAACTTATAAACAGCTAGACAAAAATATTATTTAGAACAGTCAGTTTGATTTACACAATCAGCATTTCTAATAGTTAGATTTATAAATAATGTAGTTTAGTATTTTTTAGTAAAAGCGTAAGGTGTAAAATTTGTATAAGTTTCAAATTATGTATTGAAATTTCGGAAAAGTTAGGCAGGGGCATATGTTCAGTTGATGATGTGGTATTTTCAAATCCTTCCAGATTGATGAGAAGGCATCTCGTGGTGGCAGAATGAAACTTGACATAGTGGCAGGTTCCCCCATCATTCTTATTCCTCACAGCTCTAAGACCACAGACATTTTGGTGGTAGACCTGGGCACACTCACTGTGAAGAACACTTTCAAGTTTGCTGACAATACAGTGAAATCTGAGTTCACTCATAAAAAGAAAGAAAGGCATTCCTCTTCTAGCTCTGTGGGTGAAGAACCAAAAAACTCTACCCATTCCATGCCCCTGTCTCCAAAGAAAGCTGTTGACCCAATGTCCATGAGTATTTATGGGGGTTTGGACACAGATTGGAGGGAAGATACTATGGAAGCCACTGAATCTAGTGCAATAAGTGAATCCGCTCAAACAGCATCATCTACAAGTCCCAGGTGTAACTCATCAAAACCAAAGCTTGAGAAAAAGCCCTCACTCCAAAGACAAGACAGTGTGAATGGCAGAAAGCTGGGGTGGATTCTTAACCCCCCGCCTTCCTATGAGGAGAGTGTGGAACACGTGTGTTTGTTGGATGTCCTGTCTATCAGCCTGGAGGACATGGACCTGTACTCTGCTGAGAGGGTGGAGAAGGGGGAGTACAGCAGTAGTACACCACACCTGGACTTTGTTTTCAATACCTGTGTTATACAAAGACAGGTGAGTATGAGCTATCACATCTTAAATTACCTTCTGATAATTTTTAAAAAAAGGGACAGGCAAGGTTCCTGCTACGTTAGACATGTAAAAACATTATGATAACTATTAAATAATGTTCAAGGTTGTTTTCATTGAAATGAAAGGGGTCAAACCACTGATTCAGAGAAATAAATCACAGCAAATTCTACAATTTTGCTTATCAAGAGTTGAAGATGTGTTAGTATTTGTAGAATATTCAATTATTTTTCTTAGACTAGGTCAATGTAATTAAAAAAACATTGTCTCTTGTATATGAAATTAGTACACATTTTCTTTCCCTTCTTCAGGCGGTCAAGCTTCTGAAACAAAAATGTGCTCTGAACCTAGAAGTGGAAAGAAACCTGGATGGCGACCTCAGTCACAGTGTTCCAGATTTCAACATCAACGGCACCCTGTCCTCAGTTCACTGCTCTATAGATGTTAACCAATACAAGCTGGTCCGAGGGTTGTTGGATCACAACCTGGGGGAGGCTGTGGAGGAGTTCAAGAGACCATTGCTCACTGAAATGCAAGATCCTAAGAATATTGTAAGTGGAGTGACAAGGAGGTTGTATGGATTTTAGACAAATTATGTTCTTGTGAAATATGTTAGATAAGTGTTATTCTGAGCAGACTGATGAATTTTTGTGTCAGGGAGTGAGATAGGTTTGAACCAGTGGTGCAAAGTGGAGATTGTTCAATATATTTCATAAAAATAAAACAGTGGCACTGATAATGATTGGTGGTTCAAAATTTAGATACTTACCATCAAATAAATATTCAAATATTCATTATTTTCAGACTGTTTTGAGTGGCCATGTGTTCAAAGCCATTGCCATATGTATAGAGCTGAAGAATGTGAGCGTGGAGTTCCTGATGGCCCATGAGCAGCCTGACTGTCCTGAGGTCTCTCTTGCCAGGCTGGACTTCATCAAATCCAAACTCTGCTTTGAAAGCTACTCAGATCAGACCAAAGATGTGGACTTGGTGTCTCATGAAATCAGAGCTTCTGATACAAGATTTAGAGGTAAGTTTTATATACAGAATACATGGGAGAATAGATAATAAATAATTTTGTTTGAGCCTACCTATGGTATAAAATACCTGAAATAAAATTTGAATTCATTAATAGAAATTCATATTTATCACATACTGACAGTGTATTTGCGAAAATTACAAAATGGATTAAACACAAATGATTTGATTGGTCATTTGTTTTTCTAATCACAATGAAAAAAATTAGAAAACCAAATGATAATTGAAGGAATGTTTTAACTCTTTTATCTTAACCAATTTTAAGACTTCCCAGACAACCACAAATCCAGCATCTTCCAAGAAATTCTCCACCCCACATGCCACCAGGGAGAACACAGGGCTCTGCAGATGGAGCTCCATTACCGCTCCACTAAAGATGCTGTCCACTACACTGCACTGCTCAACAACATGAGACTGCTGTGTATATTTGACTGGCTGCTGGAAGTGCAAGAATTCCTCTCCACTAGCCCCGAGGACCCTTTCAGCTCCAATTTTAGTGAGTATTTCTTCCAATTAGACATCAGTTGTGAAGCTATAATGTGTGTCAGTTTATTTATGGAAGAGACTGGTAAAAGGTTGCAAAGATCCAAAATGTGATCTTTTGTTCGTTTTATCAATATATCACAACAAAATTACCTTATTTCATGCACTTTTCCAGACAAGAGGCACCCCAGCCAGCATCAAGTAGCAGTAAGCATGGTGGATGGAATTGCCACAAAGAGGAAGCCACCCCAGTTTCAGGTAATGCACTTATTTAATTTGCCAAAGGTAGTTAAAAGCAATTGAGATATGGACACTTGTAAATTATTAATTGCACTAATACTCTGTAGTGCATTTTGTATACATAAAAATAAATCGGTTCTTATTTTGAAATGTTTTGGTTTGCTTTGTTTACAGGAACAGAAACCAATGGATTTGAAACTGAACATCACAGAGACAGAGTTTGTAGTGGTGGAGAATATGACCACATGGGACACTAAGGCAGTCATTTTGAAGGTAAGCAGTAGTCAACTTTTGAATATTTGTAATAACTCTAGACAAGGACCTTCAGAGAAATGTGTTTCTTTACTGACCTTCCAGTGTCAAAAAATAACTTCTTGACATGCCATTTTGCCTACCAATAAGGTACCAATGCCAATAACATGTAGCAAGGCTGTTGCAACTTTAATTTCAAAATTGTACCTTGTACCTGAACTCTGCAGCCTAATAAACATATTATCTTTCTTTTTCTGAAGAGCACTGCAGTATTGTCATACAGATCAGCCACAGAGAGGCCCCTGTCCTGTAGCCTACAGAGCCTGGAGGTGTTCTCCTGTACCCTGAATGCAGAGAATGAGACTGCCCTCTCCATCATAGACCCTATGACGGTGTCCATTGAACTGAGTGGGACAGGGAGGAGGGGGGACAGCGGGGCACATGGCCTGGCTGATGCTGCTGTAGATGACAGACCTCCTGTGTTAGAGGTATGTGCCTGGCAGTGAATTGCAATAAACCATTAAGCAAAGGAGTGAAGTTTGGATCATGGGATGTGACCACAGATGAACCTGATTCATGACTATGCTTTGATTGATTTAGAGAGTGAAATTGAGTGCAATTATGGATCTAGGGTCTGCTATTTTATTTCTACAATGCTTTCAGTACTCAGTGATTTTAAGATGAAGACATATATACTCATGCAATCCTATTGTTTCCCCTACAGGCCAGCTTTAATACATTAAACATCAGGTTGTCTTATAATGACCTGAAGTTGTTTCTTGCCATCATGAACTCTGTGCCAGAGCAGGCGTACCAAGCCAAGAAAAGCAAGAGTGACCTGGCCATCACAGCAGACACAATACCAGCTGAGTCTAAATATTCAGGTAAGTCTGAGGTCAAAAGTGCTTATTAATCAGTTTTTGAATCTCTGTTTATAAAAAATAATCTTTGAAAATCTTAGTATTGTCACATTGCTCCAGTTACAGGACTCTCTTGTTGGAAGTTGAACAGCATAGTTTGATACTTTCTATCCTATCTAACTCTGCCATGTAGAATAAGTGACAAATATTATCTGGACTAAATATTCCGGTGAGAAAATTCTGTATAGAATGACATTGGTTTGAAAAAGAAATAAAACTCATCAATTTCTTTTCCAGTGGAAGCTTTCCAGTCCCTGCACAATCTAGGCTTCAAGTACAGTGACTGTGAGCTGGCGTTACAGGAGTGTGGAGGGAAGCTGGATGATGCTGCTCTCTGGCTTACAACCAATGCTGAGCCGGTGAGGAAGGCAAAACAAGGTGGGGCGAAGAAAGATGATGGCCAGCTAGGAGGCATGAACATTTCTGGAGTAGAGGTGAGTTTTATTATCTCAGTTATAATATAATCAGTAATCATGATGATTTTTTGATTTAAAAATTTAAGATTAAAGATTAAAATCTTAAGTATAAAATGAAGTACAAATTATCTGGAATGAAATAAACTCAAACAGTTATTTCTGTACATATCATATTTTATATATTACTAATATACAATATTTTAAACTCTTGACATACATTTTTATGGTTTTAGCTATCTTAAAGATATCCAGAAGATTCTTGCTGCAGCAATGTTTGGTTTGTTTTGTTTGTTTTGTACAGAAATCCTTCATAAATTAATGTCAATTTTTGTTCCTATGTTGCTGAAAGCAGGCAGTATATGTTTGGTCTGTTTAGTACAGAAATCCCTCATATATTAATGTGTATTTTTTGTACCCCTGTAGCTGAAGGCAAACAGTATCTGTCTGTGTCTGATTGATGATTGTCTGGATGCTGATGTGCCTCTTACAGAGTTCACCATCTCAGGTGAGGTCACTGTTAGTGTTACACTTGTATGCTGTTTATTTGAGAATCGGTGATACTGTATCTGACTGGAGTTGTTTTAATTATAAATTTGTTTCAAAGAAACAATGTTATTTAAAGAATGATAACATTGGTTTTGATTGATCTATTGATTGAAGAATTATACAAAGCCTCCTCCTCAAAGTGTAAAATTTGACCTTTTTTCACCAGGTTTTTCAGTATAACTCATAATTTTATTTTTGATTGCAGGATTATCCGTTCTTCAGACCTTGAGGAACAAGTTGACAGGAAAGGCCAACTTCACCTTAGCAGCTGATTACTACAACAGGAAACTTTCAGGCTGGGAGCCATTTATTGAGAGTTGGAAGTGAGTTATTTGTAAACTCCAAATTGCCAATGATGGTTGAGATAAAACTATTTAATATTTCTTCTTCATGTTTTGATAGCATTTCTGTATTTAATTCAAAGGTTTTTTAAAAATTCAGTTGCACTGTGGAATGGCAGCAACATATGTACCATGAGACCCCAGAAGACAACAGTTTGACTGTATCAGTGTCAGGTGAGTAGCTGAATAATTTAATGACCAGTGTGTTTTCTTGAAATACTGATTTAACTGAATTTTATATTTGGTGGCTTTGAGTGCAATAACTATAGTATGCAAAGAGATCAAAAGCTCTTTTTTCACACACTTGAAAAATCTTTTTTACTCATGGGAGATATTTCGATGTGCAATCAGCCACCTTCATCAGTCTAAATGCAACACAGGGGGCAAACTTAATTTGATGAACAAATACTTCAAAGATATCTTTGTCTTTCACCAGCATTTAACCCTTTGAATATCAACCTGACCAGTCCACTGTTAGATTTGTATAAGAAAACCAAGGTGAAGTGGACTGAGGATTACTATAAAACTGAAAGGTTGGTGGCCATTTAGTGTGTAACTTTTATCATAGTAAGAATGTACTTCACTGAACATTAGTCATATTGAGTTGTTTATTTGTTAGAAAATGATTATTTTCACAAAATAATGATTTTCATCCTGCATTGAAAGCAATGCTCATGTCATGGAACCCTATTGCTTACCTTCTGTTTGGTTGTCTTTAGTCCACAAGACATGCCCTCTGCTGGAAAGAGAAGAGTCCCTTTTGTACCCTATGGACTGAAGAATTTGACTGGATGCAAGCTGCAGTTTGGCACGACAACTGATATGACCGATAGGTGAGGACAAACCTGTATAATTCAGGAAAATCTAAAGATATTCGCTGAAATTTTAAAGAAACATAAAGTCAGAAACTGCACCTGTGCATTTTCATTATATTATTATGCACAGTATCGTAATCTGAATTGTTTTTGTTTTTCTTATACTTCTTCCAGTGATTTTCTTACCTTCAACTGTTGTTATTGTTTCCAGCTGGGGCAGAACCACATATCTGGGTGGCGCCATCTACAACTGGAGAACAGTGATGCCTGGAGATGAAGTATCATTTCTGTTTGAGGAAAAGGGAAAGATGAGACATCAGGTAGAGAAATATTTTTTCTTTGCTTTGTAGGCATTGTCTGTGTTAAAATAGTGAACACATGTTAGTTGCAGTAGCATTTATTACTACTGTATGATTGCATACTTTGGAAATAGCACACAGAATCAACATAAATAACAAAATTAAACTTAATTTTCAATTGAAGCAAATAATAATTTTCAAAATCCTGTTAATGTCAAAAGATTGTATGCATAATTGCATTTCTTTTCTGTCATTTGTACCTGTATTATCCTTTTTAACCTTGTCAATTTTCAACTTTGCTCTTTGTCTCTCTCCTTCTTCTGACCCCATGTTGACCTAGGTGTGATCCCTTTGGAGGAAATCTTATTCAGTTGATGCTGACTAACTTTTGTTTTGTTCTAGAAAACTCACGAACTGAAAGTCCACCAGATTGTAGTGAAGGTGGATGGATGGAAGACAGCCAGTCCAGTATCAGTGGATAAAGTGGGGACGTACTTCAGGAATGCTGATGCCGAAGTGAATACATCCTCCAGTTTGGTAAGTCAGTTGTTATAGAGACAACCCCACATAATTGTTCATATAGGGTGGTTAGGTGACTCAGGACACATGTTGAATTTATGTATATTTGCAGGCCTTGGTTCAGAAGGTTAGAAAGCACAGCAGTTTCGGACAGAAAAAGTCTCCTGTGAATCAAAATTTATTCTTGATACCATGACATTACTAAATTTGGATCAACTAATAGGGTAAAAAGGTGAAGAATTTCAAAAAAATAATCCCTCCTTTGAAATTGCTGGCCACCGGCTACTTCAGTTGCTATGTTATCTAGAAAACTTTAAAAATTAATCCAATATTTGGTTTTGATTGTTTTCTTCTCTCTCTCTATTCTCTATTTTGTGATCATAGCTGTAGTAATATTTGTACCTCCAGTTTAAAGACCTGCCCACAGCCAGGTTGGTGTTTGACATCAAGATAGTGGGCAGTGCAAAGAAGGTGATCACAGTGAGATCTGCTCTGAAGGTGGTGAACAGGCTGGAAGATGTTGTGGAAATCCAGGTCCACAATATGCTGAGCAACACTGGTGTGTACATAGTCATCATCTTCATGGCGCTATTTATGTCTGTTGAATTCTTAAAGATGCAGCATTATATATTAAAGAATACAGCTTTAGTTTTCTTTAAGGCATAAAATAATGCTTTTATGGTATATATATTAATTTATTTTAGAATGTTGCTCAAATTTCCAGTTGACAGAATTTTCCACTTTAAATTTTTTTTTTTTTTTTTTATGCTGAGTTATAATAATAATAACTATGTAATTCCTATAAATATATATTTTATTTTTATACTTCCAGAGAAGCCCCACATCTTTTCCCTGGACCCAGGGTGCCCCCTGTACATCCCTGTACCCCTGGTCCACTGCCGCCTCCACGCACGTCCCCGCGGCTGGAGCATGGCCTACTGTCAGAAACCCATCTACTGGACACATGTCCAGAAACCAGGCGAGGTCCGGGACAGCTTGAGGAGCTGCCATACTGTCAATGGAGAGGGCATATACAGGTATGAATGTCACTATAACTCTATGACTTTTGTATAGAGAAGTTATTTGATACCCAACTTGTGTGGTACTATGGAAGTCATGTGGGATTTTAGAAAATTGTTAGACTGAAATATTTAATAAGAAAGATTATATTCAAAAAGACATGTCGAAACTCGATTACAGAAAGACACAGGCCTATAATGCTGTACAAAATTCTTCCAGATTCTGTGTTGAAGTTAAGAAGGAAAACTTCCCCATGGACTACGCCACTAAGAAGACGGACACCATGGCTGAGGTGTTCATGCATCCAGGACACACCCTGACACTAGTGCCCCCTACTGTCATTGTCAACCTGCTCCCCATAGAGCTACAGTACTATATTAAAGGCACTCAGATCAAGGGAGCAATCAAACCTGGGAAAGAGAAACCCTTATTTGCTGTAAGATGTATTGATTTAAATATGGTTTTGAATATATTTAGAGCCATTTCTAAGCTCTTATTTATGGACAATCAAAGTGAATGTAGGACAGATGTCTGCTATTAAGATATGACAAACCATATTAAGGACAGTATTGTATTTTTAACAATTGCAATAGAAGTACCAAAAATTGGAAATTGGAAAAAAATGAATTTTGATTGGTTTTAACATATTCAAATTGAAGCTGTCATTGAGATGTTGTATGGTGGATGTTGTATCAATTTTACCCTGTATCTTCCCAGGCTGACATCAGCCAAGCCATAGAATTAGGTATTCTCCTGGAGAACTTCCCCACCTGTAGAGAGCTGGTCATCCCTCCAGGTGTGACAGATTACCTGGTGAAGATTAGGCTGTATGATACATACAGCAGACTGCTGGAGCTCATGGTGAGAATACATGCAAGGAAAGGAGGAGCACTGAAGGTATTCCATTTGATTAGTGATGATTACTGCATTGCTGAGTGAAAATAATGATAATTGTGTATTAGTTTAAGTAGGGAGGGTGGAGTTTTTTATGGTTTTCAAATTGCTAATTTTAATTTTTTTATTGATCAATTCAGTTTACCTCATCTTGTTAGGTAAATAATTTTCTTAAAGGGAACTTTGTGAAATTCAAATTGTGCGACATCAATCCTGAACCAATTTTGTAGGAATTTATTAACTCTGCATATCATGCTGGTTCTGTGTAACCTGAAGTCACATTGAAAACAGTTATTGATATTATTATATGTTTAATTTCAGCTGCACATCTTGGCCCCCTACTGGCTGGTGAATAAGTCAGGCCTCCCACTGCTGTTCAGACAAGACAGTGCTAAGACGGAGGCGGCAGGACAGTTTGAGGAACATGAACTGGCCAGGAGTCACGCACCTCTGCTCTTCAGTTTTGCAGACAAAGATGCTCCATTCCTGTAAGTGATTTATGTGTGTTAAAATTTTGCAGAATATAGATTATTTTACACAGTTTATAACAGTGCTTTTCAAAGATTGGGTGTGCTCTTGTTTAGTTACAGCCATATTGTTAGTTTCTGCTAGACTTGTGCCAAAACAAACCGGGGGGGGGGGGGGGGGGGTTTGAGCACTGAAATACTGAAACCTTTGTTGTCATGATGCAAAAATAAGTCATTTGTGTGAAAAGAATGTTTTACTTTTACTTCATTACAGGTGTCTATTGGTTTATATTTTTATGTACAGACACAGATGTGTCTGTACATATAGCCATCATCTGCGTCTGTCATCGCCGTCGCCGTGCACTTTTACCGATAACACGAAAAGTGGAAAACCATTTTACCTTTTGACTTGAAACTTGCAGAACTGATGACTATTCATAATACGCAGGTCAAGTTCGAAAATCAGCATGGTCGGGTCACGTTTAGGGAATTTTTGCTGTTTTTTCACTTTTTTCAGCATATATGCAGCACCGATAACACGATAAGTGGAAAACCATTTTACCTTTTGACTTGAAACTTACAGAACTGATGAATATTCATAATACGCAGGTCAAGTTCGAAAATCAGCATGATCGGGTCATTTTTAGGGAATTTATGCTGTTTTTTCACTTTTTTCAGCATATATGCAGCACCGATAACACGATAAGTGGAAAACCATTTTACCTTTTGGCTTGAAACTTACAGAACTGATGAATATTCATAATACGCAGGTCAAGTTCGAAAAACAGCATGATTGGGTCATTTTTAGGGAATTTATGCTGTTTTTTCACTTTTTTCAGCATATATGCAGCACCGATAACACGATAAGTGGAAAACCATTTTACCTTTTGGCTTGAAACTTACAGAACTGATGAATATTTATAATACGCAGGTCAAGTTTGAAAATCAGCTTTATCGGGTCATTTTTATGGAAGTTATGCTATTTTTTCATTTTTTTAGCATATATGCAACACTGATACACGATAAGTGAAAAACTGTTTTACCTTTTGGCTTGAAACTTACAGAACTGATGAATATTCATATTACATAGGCAAAGTTTGAAAATCAGCGTGATCGGACCAATTTTATGGAAGTTATGCTGTTTTTTTCACTTTTTTCAGCATGTATGCAATACCGCTAACGCATTTCAAGAAAAATCAATTGGCCAATTGTCTTGAAATTTACAGGGGAGATCAGTCTTACTGAAATACAGATGGAGTTTGAAAATGGTTCAGTTTTGGTGAAGTTATGCCTTTTTTTGTATATAAGTGTTTTTTTTTTCCTTTGATTTAATTCTTAGGCATGTTAAGAATCTCCTCTGTGAACTAATTAAATATGTAAAGGTGTTCTTTTGACATTTTCTGCATCTTAACAATATTGTTAGTTGATTATATAAAAAAGATGGTTAACCTGTTATTGTGTATTATATAACAAAGTGTCAAAAATGGAAATAATAATAAACTCATATCTTTACAGTTTGTCAGATTCAATCATTCACCATGTTCAGAATCTCAGAATGGAGCAAAATGGCAATTTAAAATTGTTCTATTGATATTTTTCCTATGACAGCAATTTTCTTAGTTGTTCATTTAAAAATGACAGTAAATTGATTATTTTGTTATATGAAAAAAAGATGTTGAAAATGGAAAGAAAATCAATTCAATACAGTTATCTTTTGTTTACATTTTAGCATTTTGAAAGTGTGACTCTGAACTTCCATGGCCTTGAAGACATTTCCATGTCACATTTTCTGTAAATCCATGATACTTTTATTTTATTATTAAAAATTAATGGTCATTATATTATATTGCATAAAAGTTGAAGAAAACCCTAATTTTGGAAATGGCTGCCGGAATGACCATTAAGGAAAAACCATGTTACTTATGATACTCAAACTTACTGAAAAGTTTCGTAAGACTGATGTGCAGTTTGTGTTGGAAAATCAGTGTGATTGTTTTCCGTTTTGGAAGCAATGTAGCTCTATAGAGTGCTATATGGGGCTACTGTGTATGGATGGTGGTAATTGCCCCTTGGGATAGTCACAAGCTAAATTCAGAGCTATAAAATCATTTGCCTAATTGATTTCCAAGTGCCCATTAAATAAGATTACATAAAACACACGCTGAGACTTCCCAGTAAAGTCCCATAGGTTAAGCTCTCTTAACTGTGTCACATAATTAGGAATCTATGATAATTATGCAGGTAAATGTTGTTTAATATTGCAAATAAGTTAACAAAACAAAACAAAAAAATAGATGAATAACAGTGTCTTATTATCCTCAAACACATTGGGGTTATTCATATCATGTTATTACAGCAAGATTAAAAGTTTGAATAGTAGCTTTAATGGGATATTTTTGTGTTTTCTTTTTAATTTTTTTTTTCAAACACTGGCATTTTCAGCTCCCATCCACCTGAAGCTCTTCACATTTTCTGTATTTCCACATAAGCAGTTGCATTGGTTTTTATGTCTTTAAACATTATGTAATATTATTTTATGCACTGTCATCATTATTTAGATATTGGGATTTTCATTATGTGAATTTGGTCCTGAAACTGTAATCTTATTGCAGGGGTGGATTGAGGCCATCTTCTGGGTCTTTCAGATTTTAAAGTTCACATTGATGGGCATCTCTTTTTTCTGTTGGAAGACCATCAAAAATGTAGGATGGATCAACAAAGATAATTTGGAATACTGTCAGAAAATATCTCTGGATCAGCTCCTGTTATTGACGATGTCACCTGTTGTGCATGATTAAATTTCAGCGTTGATTGACAGTGCTATTGTAGGCATCAAAATTGACAAAATGAACCATTTTCTGCATTTTTATTTTGTGTTTTTGTCTGTACATTTGACAGCTTTGCTGCCTTGTTTATCTGGAATTTTAACTGCCAAATATGTGTAAACAATACATGTTTGTACTTATATATATCCCACACCACAGTAGCTTGGCATTAGGTGATGAGTTCCTGAGGTATGTTTATGATCATTACAGGTGTATTATGAGACTGGGGAAACATGTACATGAAAACTCCTTGTCACAGTGGTAAGTACAGAATAATGTTATTTTCCTATTATGTGACACAACTTTGTTTAATGCATGAACATGCATCAGATAGACATTGTATTTCCTTTGTTAATTTCACATGTTAAAATGTTGAAATGTTAAAATTTGGAAATTTTATGAGTTACGACATGCTATAAACTTGTATTTTAGGTGCCACAGATTCAGTTTGTCAAGAGGAGTTGGCATGCGCCAGCTGCATGTCACACCAAGGGATAACAGAAAAGTGGACAAGTGAGTAACTTCTGGCTTTGTAAGGCTTTTTCTGTTAAATAGTATCACCATTTCAAGTTGTGACAGGTGATTTTTAATGACAATTTCAAATTTTTGATACAAGTTATCAATTATTTTTGCAGAGTGTATAACATTGGCATAGAGATTCGGCAAGGCCAAGGTCGCCATAGAGACACCTACATTGTGACCTTCACCCCAAGATTCACCCTGGATAATAAATCTTCGTACAGACTGGCATTTGCACAGAGACACCAAGTGACTGGCAAGGTGAGAAATGATGGGTCATGTCAGATGGAGAAGTTTGTCTTAGTATAGACTGTCTTGGCAATAGCTTCATCAGTTGTCAAATGTCATAAAGGGTCACTGTCAATACTCTTGTGATGAGATCACCCAAATCACCTCTGCTTCTGTCTTGCTCCACTTTTAGTAAAAAAAAATGAAAACTATGTAGTAGATAGTAGTAGTGAACCTTACTACTTAAACATTCCATCACATTAAAAAACATACCATGTTTTTCCTCAGGGCCCAGAGAATCCATCAGGTGTGTTTAGTGCTTACCCCAACTCCAGTCTGACGTTCCACTGGCCGCGCCAGGACCTGGATACACTGCTGTGTGTGCGCAGGATGGATGACATGGACTGCTACTGGTCAGGGGGATTCTTTCTGGATAAAGTAAACTCTTTTCATGTCAACATGAGGTAGGTAATACTAAATGTGTATACAGCCTGGTCATCAAGGGTGAATGTTAAGCCTCTGTAGCAGTCTGACAAGCCCTTCTATATGTTTGTGAAAATGATGAAAAAGATCATTAGAATTTATCACCATTAGCTCAAGGTATTTGATGTGTGGTTATTGGTTGTTGCAAGTGTTTTGAACGTTATTCTATAATTTTATCAAATCAATAAGGCCAGTCATTCACACCGTTGCAACCTTTTTACTTGTCATATTAATAATACTGGACTCTATTATAATACATGTATTTTGTCATTTTATTTCAAGGGGTCCTCAGAAGATGCCACTATTTTTAAGAGTGGATGTGGTATTACAGGGCGCCACTTACTTTGTGATATTCTCTGATGCTGATCAAATGCCTCCACCTTACAGAATTGACAACTTCTCAGAGGTAATGGGGGGATTTCACTTGAAATATCTTTTGATTGAGGCTATCATACATGGCAAGGAAATTGGGGTTTATAGTAAACTTTACAACTAATTCATTACCAATGTGATTTGTGGATTGGATATTTTCCTTATATTTACAATTAAAAATTATGTTTATAGTTATAAGGCTTTTACTAGTGAAATTCATGTTTTACTTGAAAAACTTTTCAGATAATGACAGAACACAATTGTCTAATTTCATTTGTATATGTCTCAGTATTTAAAACAATTTGGTATTAATGCAGGTGCCCCTTGTTGTATACCAAAGAGATGTGGTGGATGATCGACTCAGAACATTGATAAAACCAAAAACTTCATGTAAGTTTTACTAGATATATTACATTTGATTTTAGGCCTAATGTTATTGTTGCTTGAGAAGTGAATTTTTTGGAAAGTATTGATTTTATTTTTGAAAAAAAAAAATTTCCCCTTGCTTACTAAATTAACCACACAGGTAGCTGCTCTAAGGCCCTATCTTTACACAACCATGGCAGATCAAGCAAACATTGTTTCTCAAACAACTGTTATCAACTTTTAATGAAAATTGATTATATGTCCTCTTTCTTCAATTTAATATACTGTATTTTCAGGGCCATATGCATTAGATGAGCCCAGCCTGCCCTCCATATTGGCTTGCTGTGTCCAGGGCGGGACCAAGGCCTACTATGATCTGGACAGGATAGGGGACGGCCAGCAGCTCCATTATGAGAACTTCTTTTATATAGCTGTCACAGGCACTTTTATCAGGTGGGATAATTTGAGGAGACATTAAAGCCTGTGAATTAACAAAAAGACTGAGGATTATCAAACAGACAAGTTGAATTGGACAATGTAAAAATACACATAAATTTGGTGTTGTATATTGAGAGAAAGAATTTGCACTTGAGTTGATAAGAAATCTAACTTCTGACATTGATTTCTGGTGCAAATTCTATTCTTTCTTCTTAATCGTTTATAAAAATATGTAATGCTATTTGTCCTGTCAGTCCTATATAAAATGTACATATAAATCTGTGTTCAGAGAACCCCAGCCAGGTTCCCTGCAGCCCCTCTCCTCAGACTTGGAGTCCCAGATGTTGGTGCTGGACGTCCCCACAGACTCCACTGCCGTGGTCTTCAAGAGGAAAGTGAGTAATTAGTGGTGTGGGTGGCGGTTTGAAGATAATGGTGCCAAGTTTATCCCAATAACTGCTTCGTATTTTCTTTCCACTGTTCATCCATGTATTAAACATCATAATTTGCAATATGAGTATGTAATACTTTTGCTATACTTCTGATAGCACATTTTTGACCAACGATTTGATCAACAATTAAAATCTTTATTTAAAATAGAATCTTAAGGGTTAACTTTTGTTCAAATCAAGCTAAATGTGTTGTCTTTTATTAATCTAAATACACCAATTAAAAATATTACTTTGGATAAAGTAATAAACAACATAGAACTAAGTCAGTTCGTTGTAATTATCTCCAGGAGACAGGTAAGAGGTCTCAGCTGTGGAGGATGACCACCAGTGGTCTGATACAACATGAGGGGTCTGCCGTCCCCAGGGACCCCAGGAAGAGTCCAGCCAAGGACAATGTGTTTGTACTGGACATCTCAGCCATAGCCCCTCTGCCCACCCAGTACGTACCCCTGATGCTGAGGAAGATGGACCCCAGGAGGAGAGCCACACAGACATGGCAGTTCACTGAGGTAAGGGGGCAGGGGGATTAGATATTAGATATTGTAAAGAGTCCAGCTTCTGGATCCAGTTTCATAAAAGAGAACTGAAATTGAAAGTTTGTCTATACTTCATGACTTTGGTTTACCTCAATCTGTGAAATTAGTGGTCTGATATTGAATTGACTCAGTAAGACAGACAGCCTGTGACAACTGTGAACTTGAAGTAGAATAATATTACAGTAATAGTCAAATACTGCTGATTACAGTAAGCAGAAATGCAATTTTCTTTGTGTTTTCTTGAATTAGTTATCTATCTGAGTTTATATGATATTGCATGTTTCTTTTAGTGCTGTTTGTATGGCATTATTCTTATTTTCATGAAAGCCCAAGTTACATCAGTCATAGATGGCAAACTTTATAAATCCCAGAGTTATCATCTTGGTAACTATATACATTGACTGTGAATGTAATGTCATATACTGTATTATTCAGGATGGTCGCTTGGTTAGTGCCTTTGGCAGCCTCAGTGTCCAGTCCCGAGACGGGGTCACTGGACTGAAGGATGGGGCAGCTGTGGTGGTGGGACCTGGCCTCCCACTGACCATTACAGGCAGTTCAGAGTCCAGCACCCCTGTCCCTGTGTACATGGCACTAGGCAGACAGAAGATGAGGAGTGGCTCTGGTGTACTGGCTGTCAGGGTGATACCAGATGGTCCCACTAGAGTACTGGAGATTACTGATCTCATGCAGAGGGTAAGGGGAAAATATGTGTGTATTTACTAGCTATGATAATGTAGTATATGTCAGGGTGATACCAGATGGTCCCACTAGAGAACTGGAAATTACTGATCTCATGCAGAGGGTAAGGGGGAAATTATGTATGTTTTCTAGTTAGTATTATATGGTTACCTAGAAAGGGGTGCCTGTGTTCAGAGCCTATTTGTCTTCTTATCACAGATGAATGTGGAAAACATGAGGGAAAGAACCCTGTGAGCTGTTCAATTTACTAGGAATATTTGAATTAACTGATTATCATATGAGGCAAATCATTTAATAAAAAAAAAGTTATATACAAGTATTTATATTACTTTGTGCAAATAGAAAGGGACATTTATTGTTGACAAGTTAACATTTGATTGATATAGTATTCTGTTAATTGTTTATTATTATTATTATTATTATTATTATTATTTGTAGGATGTAGCATTGTCAGACTCTGATGACTACACCATGGTAACAGAGAGAGGGACAGAAAAACGGAGAAGCAGCAGTAGTATAACAGACCATGACAAGATAGGGGAGTTGAAGGTGTGTGAGGAAAATCGAAATTTTGCCGCAATGAAAGACTATGTATACCACTGTGAACATAATACATTTGATATTGGAAACACCTCTAGGAAACACCACGAGGAAAAAAAGTCCTTTTAAAGTATTTGAAAGTGATGTTTAATAATAGAGACAGCACTAGGAAATCAGGACCAAAAATAGGGTCCTTGATAAGGTTTTGGAATTGATGTTCTTTTGATGTGATGTGTTTTATTTTGAAAAGTTATATTTTGCATAAAGTGTATATAGCATTACGTTTATAGCATTATGTTTATAGCATGTTTTTATTTCATCTTCTAGGTATCCTTAAATCTCCATGGTGTGGGCATTTCCCTGGTCAACCACATCCCTGAAGAACTCGTATACATCTCATTCATGGACATTGACGTGGGATTTTCTTCCAAGAGGGGGTCACAACTTCTGGAGATGTCTGTCAAGAATGTGCAGGTGTGACCAAGTTTGATAAGGCTTCACAGCAACAAAACTTCAAAGGTTTCCACCAGTAGAAATTGACAGTGAAATATATTTATACTGTCAGATTTGTCAAATCAAACTTTGTCAAAAAATTATCAATCTGATATGTGAAGTACAACAATTTTATTAGATCCGTTTCTTTCATTTAATGAACTTATCACTTTGTCATATTGTAAACCAAACTCCCCATGTATTGTCTAACTAATGAGCCACTATGTTATGTTTTAGGTTGACAGTCAGTTGTTTGGCGCCCTGACCCCAGTGGTGCTGTTTGTTACCAGGTTAAAAGAGGGCATCAGAGACGACTCTCCTGCACTGCAGATCTCTGCACATAAAGTGGCCAATAAGGAATGGAATGCTGAAATATACAAGGTGTTTATTTAATATTTTGCTGCTCACAGTAAAAAATGATGGTAAATTAGAATCACAGATATTGATTTTTATAGAAAAAAGTCATTATGAAAATCTATAAAATGATAAGTGATAAATAAGGAATGAAATTCTGAAAACTATTTTGATTATTGATCTTAATGCTCAAATTTCACATATGTATTTGTTGAAATACATTCACTTGGTTTAAGCACCTTTCTCATGTTTCATCCCTTAAAGTATTTGTTCATAATTGTTCTGCCAGCACCTGGCTGTCTATATGAAGAGAATGACTTTGATCATTGAGGAGCGTTTGTTGTGGAAATTACTGCAATTTGCTGACATTGGATTGGATGACAGTGACTTAGAGCAAGTTGATGAAAGTGACTTCTCAGCACAAAGGTAAGTTCATCCTATTTTGTCTTTGGTATTTCCATTATTCTTGGGCTTTCATGGAAACATGTTTATTTTGTAGGTAGGTGATATCTTAGCAGTGTATGGAAGTGAATGTCAATCTAAGCAATGTGTTGTTGCGCAACAAAAATATGTTGACTTTTGTATGGGATGAACTTCATGGTGAGGTTGTTGAGGCAATCTATAATGACTTGATCTGCTCTTAAGCTACTCTTACAACCGGTCGTGCGTGCTTCTACAAGCGGTTTGCATGCAAAAAATTGGCCAAGAAGTAAGAGACACGCACGTGGAACGTACCTTTTTTGGAGGACGCAAACACGACGCAAAGCACGCAGTCCGAAAACTGGCTGGCCAGTTAGAACGACAGTTAAAACGCCTAGAGCACGCTCGTAGCACACAAGACAAAAGTACTGAGTAAGTGCGCTAGGCGTGCATGTAACGCAGGAAAAGCATGCAGGGTATTTTACCACGAAGACGTACTTACCACGCAAGAGACTCGTATGTTCAACTTGCTTTCAATCTACGTGTTAACAAAAAGGGGGTGAGCGCACTTCCTCCGTGCATTTATCTTACTTGGCAGGTACTACTACCGTACTTGTAAAGTACGTCACACTAAGACGACGCACGTGACCAGCACGATAAAAGTGCGTCAACCACTGCCAGCATTGCGTCACGATCTTCGGCCTCCTCTAGCATTAGCGGCTGTAGAAGTCGATGGTGCATCCTTCTTGGAAATGCCATTTTGGAAGCCAAAACAGTGAATGATGAAGAGACTCGGTGCCCCCTTTTATATTATTTTGATTATCCGTGCGTTCCACCAATTTGACGCACGAGTGTCGTGCTTAACACTTCTGTGCTCATTACGTTTCTCCTACACCTCTCTTACTTCGTAAGTACGATTTCTGTAAACGTACGCTTCACTTGCAATACACGTAAGATTATCTCACTCACTGTGTGCGACACAAGTAGGTGCTCCTTACTTCTTCCTACTTCCAAAAAGGCGTACAGACCACTTGTGGGCCCCATGTTTAGAGCACGACACACCTGCTCATAAAGTACTTACTACTTACGTCCGCTGTGATTTAATTTTCATCCGGCGACAATGCTACGCCTGACAAGAACTCCGAGGACGCACGATCTATAAGCACGCACCATGGGTTGTAAGAGAGGCTTTAGTCTAGCAAAGTTATAGCACCAATACTTTTTACTATCAAATTAAATAATTATCACTGTTCTAATTTCTTCTATAGAAACCAAGCAGTAGCCACAGCCATCCAGGCCAAGAGATACTACTTTGGAGTGCTAAAGATCCAGACGCGCCGTATCAACCTGGGCATGCACACGTCCACCAAGCTGCCCCCTGACCTGGAGGCCATCAAGGTCAAGATGGGAATACCTCTCATCAAGTTTGAGGATGCCAAGGTTGAATTAGGTAGGTCAAGGTGAAGGTCAAATAGAATCGTGATGTTTAAACAATACTAATTTGACAAATAACCTTCAAAAAGTCTGTTAAGATTTTGTTATGGAAACGATAGTTTTCTTTAACATGTCTTGAATGCTTACTTTCTTTTGTATGTACCGGTATTTGTTCAAACTGTTTTTCAGACCCTTTTGTTCAGTACCATCCATTTGAAACTAGTGCTTTGCTTATAAATTCAATCATCACTCATTACACTGAGGTAGGTGACTTTGCTATAGACAAATTTAAATTTCAATTTTAATAGACAAATGTAAATTGTAATTTATCATCCTAAAGAATTCTTATTTTATTTACGTATTCATAGTTTAATTGTTGAAAAGTATTTAAGATGCAAGTAAGAGGTCACTTATGGAATATTTTAATATTAAAACAATATTAAGTTTTATACTGTGGATTATTTAGTACTTACAATTGAATTATTTTATACTTTCCAGGAACTAAAAAGCCAGGCAGCCAAGATCCTGGGTTCTGTAGACTTCCTGGGGAATCCCCTGGGTCTGGTGAATGATGTGACTGCTGGGATCTCTGGGGTGGTCAGAGAGGGCAATATAGGGGGACTGTTTACCAATGTGGCCCATGGCTTCACCAACTCTGCTGCCAAGGTGAGCACAGTGCATTAGAGCACCAGTTTGTGTAGAAAGACAGGTATTTAAGGTATACATACAACTACACAATGGTGTGATATTGCCATACATTATGCAGGTATATATGCAGTCAGTTAAAATTGTCAATGTATATTCTTGTGATATTTCTTATTTTGTGCACTGCTTTGTCCCTTGGTCTGTAAGACTGCTTTATATTCATGCTGCATGCTACACTGTATAAGTACATTTTTATGAGTTGGACATTTCATCTCAGGATTTAAAGAGCTAAATAAACTGAACCTTAAGCAACTTTTGCTATTTCTTATAGCAGTAGTCCTATGTGGACCGGCAAATGTGACAGACAGATTCAAGTTAATGTGGAACAAAAATGAAACCACTGAATCATTTATTTCCAGGTGACTGGTTCTCTGTCAGATGGTCTTAGTAAGCTGACCTTTGATGAGCAGTACCAGACTGTGAGGCAGCAGATCAAGAATGAAGGGGACAGTGGTGGCAATATTATAGCAGGAATCAAAGGGTTGGGCCATGGCTTGGTGGGAGGTCTCACCAGTATTGTACAGAACACAGTGCAGGGGTACAGCAGTGGAGGGGTAGAGGTGAGAGAATGGGAATATACTATGTGTATGGATTTATGCCCACCTATTAACACATACTTGTACACAAACACAGTATTGAGGGTAGTGAGTATAAAAAAAAGCTTTGTGATTTATCTATTAGAGAGATGTAACAATAGTTTCTTGTAGTTACATGTATATTTTTTCTTTCATAAAATTTTTTTTAAGGTCAGCATCCCTTATTCTGATTTCAGGGTATGATGGCAGGGCTGGGTCGTGGTATGGTGGGCACTGTCACCAAGCCAGTCACAGGAATGCTGGACTTTGCCTCCCATACAGCCACCGCCATGAGAGACACCAGTCGTACCAGCAGTGCCAGGAGACAGAACAGGCACCGCAGTACCAGGCACTGCCTGGGCCCCGGGGGACTCCTGCCAGAGTACTCAGAACATGACGCCCTGGCACAGACCTTCCTCTACTTGCTGAATGATGGGGATTACTCTGAAAGGTAGTTAGAATGGGGTTCATTTGTTCCTTTTTCAAATTCTGGAGTCCTTGAACATGCTGACATATACATATTTGATATGTATAGGTATATAGAACCCGTGATACTATCTGATATGTAAGTATGCAAAGAATCGGATTATTCTAGGTATGTGCATTGTTTACATAAAAATTTGGATAATGTGTAATTTTTGACTGTTGTATACAAATTCATATTTAGCTGGTTTAGAAAAATAGAAATTATATTTCAAACATTTCTTATATTACTTAAATAAGCTGTAGTACAATGTTTAAGCATACAGATACATGTCTAATATCAATTCTAGATACATTGCCATGATCCCAGTGAAGAGTGGTCAGGAGAGTCTGAGAGTTCTGATCACCAGTGACCAGCTGTATTTTCTACGCCATGAATCTCCAGACATGGACAATGTCACCCTGCAAGTGCCCTATGAGGAACTGAAGGGATGCAGGGTCATAGATTTAGGTAAGAGAGACATTCAAAATAGGAAAAATTAATGTTTTGTGTTTCCATTTTCATTAAGTGATTACTGATCTTGATGTATTTTATCACTTGAAAACACTTAGTTTAATATCAAGTTTTATTAATTACAATTATATTTAAGATCAAAATCTGTATTATTTATGGTCTTGATATGTAGTAAATGGATTGAGAATTTATATAAAACAATTCTTACTTGTTGATTGATATTTCGACACATTTATGTGTACTTAGTAGTGTGTAATGAATGACAAATTCAATTTTGAACCATATTTGCCAACACTTACTCCAATTGACATATTTTCCTCATATACAGTCCAGAATGATGGAACCCTTGGCTACTATGTCCAGTTGTCCATATCCAGCAGTCAAAATGGAGGGGCAGCCCCTGATATACCTCTGAGGACCCCGCAGATTAGATGTGATAGCGAGATGACAGCCATGCAGGTGATGTAGCACATATTTTGTTGTGTAATTTGATATGAGTAGAATAAGTACCTAGTTTGTAATTGGATAATGGTAAACATGTCTGTATCACAATAGTTTGAAGCTAATGCATTACTTTTGGTTAGATTAATCACTAGTATCTCATTCTTTTCAGTTTTTACACTGTAGAAAGCACAACTTGTTTTACTAAGTCAGTGTATTTTGTACCTGGTGAACAGTCATTTAGTATCATTTATGTGTGATAACATCTTTTCTTTTGACTCTATTCTAGGTAACAGAGCAGATTCTATACGCTAAAAACCTGTTTGATGAAAAAAGACAAACAGTGGATGCTGGAGAGGAGGAAAACCAAGCAGAATTATTTTCATGAGATTCAAAAGATATGCAAAAGTTTATTTTGTGAAAAAAAACAAAGATCTACTCCAAAGCAGAGTATAGGGTTTTGTGCAGTGTGAGAAATTGTAAACTGACCTCTTGGATGTTGACAGGAAAAACCAGCAGACTTTTGGAAGTTGTTCTTGAATGTGCCATAAGTGTTAAATGTCTTAGTGGTTGGTCTTACCAGAAATGTTACAGTGTCATTTGCACAAGTTCTTAATTTGAGCAGCATCAACGTGTATTTGCAATTGGGGAAAAAAGCTTTTTTGAAAAATAGATTTTAATGGTGCTTGCAAAAATAATGACACATTAGATGAGAATTAATGGTTGTTTATGGAATTATTGTGCTTTCATTGAATCACATTGAATTATTGAATTTTTTGTGCCAATATGAGCACTGCTCTGTTATTAATTTACATGGCAACTGTGATAGATAATATATTAACATGTTCATCTAGTCAGATGGTAAAGGTTGTGTATATTGGTGCTTGTATTGTGGAATTTGTAATTATATCTGACATTTGTGGATGTGATCAGCAATACACATGTATTTTTAATTAACAACAATATTGTTGGTGGATTGGGGCTTGCTTATCATCAAAGTTTGCTGTACCTTCATTATCCATTTGTGCAAAAAATACAATAGTTGCTCAAGTCCAATGATGTTACAGAATCTTTTTACACCATTTAACAAAAATGCCTAGTTTCATTTCGTTACTAAACACAGGAGGCGTAGTTTGTGTAGACCGCATTAATTACATCTTGAGAATGCCCTCATTAAATATTGTTACAATTTAATAGTTATATTTTACCCCAAAGTGCAAGGAATTTCTTTTTGGAGCAGAGGTATTTTCGGCAATTTTAGACAGAGTTCCTGTGCTACATTGTCTTAACAGTCTTAAACATTCAAATTCAGAATAATGTTATAGAATTTCATAATGCTTATTTTGAATGGAATATTTCCCTAAAAAGGAAGAAACTTGTAAAATGTAAATAAAGATTTTATTGTTGAATCCCACTTATTCATGTGTTCACAAGAGTTTCAAATTATTTACATATCATGTAAGTCTGTATTGGGAGGAATCAATTCTTGAAATCAGTCACCAAATGACCCTACATATGACAGCCCTTTTGTGTACTAGCTTTTCTACAGTAACTAATATTTCATTACATGTTGATTACATTATTTCTTAAAACAATTCGAATAGTAAATAAGTTCACCTTAAATCAGCAACTATCTATGCTTTGAGATCTAGAACTTGTCATCCTGTGTACTGCAACTAAACCCTGCCGATTCTGTACACAGCTACATAAATATCAGAGCCAAGGCATAACAATTGTATTAACATAATATTATAGTTAGTCTATAACTAATAAATCAATGTTCACGTTCAGTTTCTTACTTCTCATACTAAGATTCTGATTTAACTCTTGAAATTTTACATTCAAAAAGAGCCCACTGCACACCTATTGCTGTAACTAATAATTCCATAAACAATTTTCCAACTGTCCAGTGGCTTGAGTTATTTAATAAAACCCAATCTTAAATTCTGGTCCAAATAACTCCTGTTATTCCTATTATAACATAGAGCAGCTCACTTTCCAATGTTTGAAGTTATTTTGCTTCCTTTAAGAGATTTTGTTGACAATGTTGCTAATCACCAAAATTAACCAGTCTATCTTGAGCATCTTGCTCAGAAGATGAGGCTATCCAGGTGAATAGCCTCTGTCCAGGTAATGTACTTGCCCCCCTCCCAACCTACAGACTTGGAAATTGAAGAAAAATTACTGCCTTATTCTTAGTGCATAACACAGCCCACAAAATTCTCTAAATTGAATGCCACAGGTTTTCATCCACTACTCCTGATGTACTACCAGAGTATTCTGAGAGCTGCTTCCTGGAGAATCATCTGAAGTAGTGAACTCAACTTTGTACATCTCGCCGTTTATTTCGATGTAATCTCCAGAAGACAGATTCATCAGCTGTTCAGCAGAAAGCTGAATGTCTGAGGCAGCATCTCCAATGATGGTTTTCCCTCCCTGCGCCCCGCCAGTCACTGACACAGCAGTCAC